TGTTCAGTTTCCTGTATGCTGTCAAAACTGTTGACGATTACAGCCTCACCTCCCGTCTAACAGCCATGAGATTAAGAGTGTGATTGGAGAGTTTTTGAGTGTTCTTCTGCGGTGGGTCTTGCAGAACTTAGCTCCGACCGCATGGACAGTTTCCACGAGCTTGTCATTCATATCGTCCACTGCATTGCAATCTTCTAGGCACTGAAAGCGGTTACGTAACTCGAGCTGAAAGGTTTCGGGATTCTAGATTAGAGCACGAGGGGGACGGAGCGTTGACTGCACTAGACTAGACCTCTCCAACTTAATGTTTAGGTTCATTGTGCCTCTAAACATTCGGTGATCGCTGGCAGTTTTTACCCTCGCGATCACTGAGACATCACTGAACAGTTGGCGTCTGGTCGTCATAATGAAGCCAGTCTCATTTTTTGTCGAACTGTCGGGGCTCGACTAAGTCCACTTCCTGTGGGGCCGCTTCTGGAAGAAAGAGTTCATCATAAAGAGGCCCTCTTTCTCCATAAAGTCGGCCAGCTGCTCGCCCCTTGGGTTCCGTTGCCCTACTCCAAATTACCCTAACTTCAGACGCTTGTGATTTCCGTAAAGTCTCCCATCAACATATAGTGGGTTTTTGAGGAATGCATGGCTCTAAAGATATCCTCATACATTTCCTCCAACTCCTCATCGAGATGTGCCGAGGTTGGTGCTTAAAGTAAACCTGTATGACCTTCAGCGAATACCGTTCGGTGATTCTGAGTATCAGGTACGCGACCCTTGTCGATACACTCTCAATCTTTACAACTTTGTTGACGAGAGACTTGTGGTAGACAAATCCGACACCTCCTTGGGGCAGATGGTCGCCCTCCCGGTGATAGAACAAGTTGCGGACTCGAGGATTACCGTGTCCTCCCACTTTCTTCGAACCTCGGATAATCCTATAATGTGCCAGCGCAACTTGTTTACCTTTTCTTCTAGCTCCAGTATCTTCTGGTCAGTCCTGAGGGTGCTTGCGTTATATGTTGCCAGGTTGAGTCGTCGTAGGTAGCAACCGAACCTCCGCAGGAGATTCTTAGCACCCCCTGCCCCGTCGTTACCATGGTTGCCACCGCAGCCAGGAATAGAGGAGCCGTCGGGGACTGGGGGCTGTTTATTTGTGTTTTTCATGCTCATGTTTGCCATAGTTGCCTCGCTTGGCGAGCGGGTTGGCAACCGCAGTTTTTTTATTGTGTAATTGTTGTTATCAGGAAGATGCTGCTGCCCATCTACTGCCTATCAAGAATATTTTGTAATGATATGAATGAATATTTTGTGAAAATGCAAAATCTCAAGAGGCTGCACTTGGTCCAATAATTACCGTGTGCGAAAAACAGAGAATGACATTGTGCGCTCACTCTTACTTGGGCATAGTGCAGTGCAATGCACGTATCGATAACTTTTTCTTAAGTGTCGTTGATCATCCAGGAATTTCTCACCAAGAGATAACTAATTTACTGAAAGTGTCTCAGTAATAGACGTTTTTAGTCTTAGCTTTATCATTTATACGTTTTATAATTATAGAAAAGGGTATATAATAAAACGTTATGGATAAGAATATCCATTTATGTTTAATATCCGGATCTTTTGGAAACCTGGAATAATAGCATTGTATAAAATAAACTGATGTATAAATAAAATGAATACAACATTATACAAACAGCAAACAATATATGTATGGGTGACATATTAATAATTTTTATTAGTTTTAACAATCTGTAACTGACTTTAAGTTGTTTGTTATTTTTCAGTTACCCGGCTTCTTACAGATCAAATTTAGTCTACTATCCTTACAATATAATTACTTGTCCTTACAATATATTAAAACTGCATAAAAACTTATCAGGTAATTTAAAAGTACAAACAAATAATAATAATAATAATAATGTCCTCCCGACCGAATTTCGGCCACGGCGGTAGTGCCCAAGTGTATACGCACGCAGAGGTGCACTCTCTCTTCCTTCACTCTCATAATCCGATGGGATGGTAAACCGACACGACCGTATAGAGATCAGGCGCAGGACCAACGGCTTTACGTGCTTTCCGAGGCACGGGGGTGAGACACCGCCAACTTCCTGACTCCGAGCAACTACCGAGAATTTCTTGACGGAAAAACTCAATAATTAATTTTTTGGCCCGACCCAGGATTCGAACCCAGGAACTCATGCAGTCGCACTACTACCACTAGAAAAACGGCCGAGGGTTAGGGGGAAAGGGAAAGAAACCGGCGGACGATGCGGGCGGTATCGAGGAGCACCGCCTTCTGCATTTGAGTCTGGAGCGAGCGGTCCGCCACATAGTCCCAGCTGCCTCAGATGACCCTAGAGGCTAACGGGGATTAGCCCATTCGCAGAGACGACTACAGGAATAATTTCGGTCGGCAGACCACCCCACATGTCGGTCACCTCGTGAGCCAGGTCCAGATATTTTGTTTGCTTATCTGTTTCGATATCGATCGAGCCGTGGTAGCTCAGTGGTTAACGCTCGCTGTAAATATAACAGAAGGCGAGTAACCCGGGTTCGATCCCCGCCGGCACCAATGAAATTGTTAATTGCAATTTTAAGTGCTGATTTACCACGTGCTCAGCGGTGAAGGAAAACATCGTGAGGAAACCTGCATGTCTGAGGAATAAGAAAAAAAATATTTCGAAGACATGTGAAGTTCGTCAACACGCATTTGGGCAACGCGGCGGACACTTCCTTGCCCTAAAACCCTCTCAGAAATGAGGGGAGGCCTGAGCCCAGCAGTGGGACGTATATAGGCTGTAACTTTACTTTTACTTTACTTTTATCTATTTCGGCTTTCACGAGGTTCTCGTCATACGGAATAGTAATGTCGACTAAAAATATCCTTGACTGTGCCCGGTCCATCAGCACAATATCAGGCTTATTCACAAGAATAGTCCTGTCTGTGATGATGGCCCGGTCCCAATAGAGCCTGGCGCGATCATTTTCAAGCACGGCTTCCGGCAAGTACTTGTAATACGGCAATTTCCGATCCCCGAGACCGTATTTCAGAGCGAGATCCTGGTGAAGAATTCTGGCTACTAGGTTGTGCCTGTGCAAGTACTACCACAAAAAAAACCGGCATGGAGAAAGGGGCAAACAATCACACCGCTCTGTCGCATGCAGGACATCTGCATAAATCTATCTTTTTCGTGTGCTAATGCGAAAGAAGGCGTCAATATGTCTGTGGGTTTCTCTGTCTACGCTAAAAACTGACGTACATAAACATCTATAGGATTTAACCTGTGAGAATACAATATACAGCATAGATTTAGTATTAACCATAGAGATAATACCTATTCATCTTATCTTATAGTAGGTGTTTTTCTTCTATTTATATTTTATTATGTCAAATAAGTGTCTTACAGTTTATTTCAAGTGTTATGGTAGGGATGTATTTTTTAATTATTACTTTATGTAAGATGCGTAATTTTGTAATTTAATTAGCCAATAAAAAACTGCTAAGAAGTTTTGTAATTATTAAAAATCACAGTACATGTACTTTTACATTTGTCGCTACTAGTTGGGTGAGAAAAAACAAAAACTTTCAGGAGTGGTCTTCAGTATGCCTCTATTAGTCGTTATTTAAATTATTAAAAAAACCTTATCAATTGCTGTATTAGAATATATTGCGGGATTTGTGGCAGAAAAAGGTTCAGATACCATGCAAGAAGAAGCAGTGACAAACTGTCTTATAGAAATTATATTAAAAAATAATTTTTTCAGAAATGAACAAATAATAATAATAATAGTTTATATAAAAATCTATCATGATCATGAAACGGTGGATGAAATATGATATCCAGGATTTTATCCTGCATATCATATTTCGTGATCATGCCAGATTTTCGAATTTTTCGAAATTTGATAATATTTTTCATTTAAAATGCGGATGAATAAATAAAATATGATATACAACTTTCTTGTATAACTTAATATTTGTGATGAATAATGTGCAAAAAAAATTAATAATAAATAAGTATTGATTTTTAAAACAGTTTATTTCATTTTTACTCAACTAATCATTATTATTTTACATTAATAACATGGGATCTGGGATCACCATCCCAGTAATACTTTCAACACAAAAGAAGGATTTAATTTCTATCTACACAAAAGCCATAAATCATTCAGTCACATTTATTCGCCAGATTAGTTATTTGACGATTGAAAATTCAGCCCTGTATCTATGTAAATACCTACGGAATAAAGTAAATTAAGCAACAAATCCAATTATATAAAATGAGAAAAATATTCATATTAGTTAAAATATCGTTATCAGCTGCGCATATTGCAGAGTTATAACCATATAAAAGGCGACCATTTTATGCGCCAGATTTTTGTAGGTAGTCACGCTAATTTTGTAGGTATGCCCAGTCCATATACTTCTTAGTCAGTGGTATTAACTGACATTAGACTATGGTATACAGTGTTTATATTTACATAAATTCTACAACTATTCTACTTCTGATACGTTCTTATACACGTTTTACAAATAAAAAATAGAAATATTATTAAAATACAACAATTCGAGAATAGTTTATTCCTTGCAACAATCTATTCAATTTAAGCAAGGAGGTCTCGCAATTTTGTGTAGTATTTGTTTCATTTTTTTTAATTTATACATATTTTGCAATTTTACATGGCAACATTTTCTTCCTCTCTGTTGTGCATAGAGTAGTCTAATATATACGGAAACTGTTGTGCACAGAGTACCTTTGTATAAACTGTAACTCTATGACTGAAACTGTTGTGTCAACGTCAGCGGCAGCTGTCGTGTCGTCAGGGTGTTTAGGGGTGTGAATAATAAACTCCGTTTTCTTTTGATAATTCGTTCGTTACAGTGCATATCGCGTTTCTGAACAATGTTTATATTGATAAGAAAGTTTTTTATTTGTGTTTACATTTAAGTTAATTACGACTCCGTACACAAATACATGTAAATAAAAGTTAACACTACACCGAAAATGACGCTTTTGATTTATACTTGTGTTTTGTTAGTAACTTTATTTATCAAGGAAAGTTCACTGCGGTCACTCGAAGATGATGAGCCGTTTCTTCAGGCCCCTAAGTACACAAACTACGATGATTTGGTCAAACTTCTCGACAAGTTAGAAAAAACATACCCGGATCTGGCGAAAGTGTATTCGATAGGGAATTCTGTAGAAGGACGGCAATTGTTAGTGCTGCAGATTAGTGAGGATGTAAAACATACACATCCAGAACGACCCGCTTTCAAGTATGTTGCAAACATGCATGGGGATGAATCAGTGGGGCGACAATTGATGGTTTTTTTGGGACAATATCTACTCATAAATTACGGCAAAGATGACAGAGTGACACGGCTTGTGAACACTACAGATATTCATTTGATGCCTTCCTTGAATCCTGATGGTTTTGAAATGAGTAAAGTAAGTAGATTTTTATACTTATAATAATGTAAAGATATAATTTTGATTCTATTTAAAGCCATTTTTTAACATTAGAAAATTTGTCAATTTTTTAACTTTCTACACTTCCAAAGTATGGAACAAGTGATAGTAATTGTATTTTTAAAATGCTAGATGTTCATATTCTGGCACTAGCAAAAGCAAAAAAGTTTTTTGTGTAAATGCTTACCACCTAATTAAAAAGTGACAGTAGCTTAATGGTACGAGTCAGACTGCAAACTTGGAAACTTGGGTTTGAATCATCTATTTGACTACTGTTGTGAACCACTCTTAACACAAGTATCTTAAGCTTGCTTAGAGTTGTTAATGAATTATTAGTAATGTTAAAAGTGTTACTAGTATTCTTGTTTTTAAAGAACAATACAATTCTAATTCCCCCTATGACTCCCTATGTGCTCATGTCTCTAAGTTTCCAATTTTGGGAATGTTATATTTATATTGAGCTTGTAGTGGCAGTGTAAGAATATCCAATACCCTACATAGTCCCATGGGTGTTATAAAAGGCAACAAGGAGTAACAAACCTAGAGATGGGCAGTAGCATTGTCCTAATAATATCTAGAAAAAAAACATGGTAGAGCCATGCAGCAGTTATATCAGTAGTATAGTTGTAGTACGAATGGGTCATCTCGACTGGAGAAGGAGCACTCTCCTACAGAATACCAGCGTAAAATAGTAGGTTAATGCTGCTGTGTTTCGTATGGTGAGTGTAGAGAACCGGAAACCCTTTTTACTGGAAATGAGGCATTCCATCCTAGTTCTCACGGGTGACAACGCATCTGCATTTTGATTTGTAATCATGGATATATGAAGACGTCTATAAACCGCAGCAACCACTTACCATCAGGTGGACTGTGTGTTCATTTGTCACCCTATCCTATAAAAAAAAGAACTGCAGTTGCCAACCCCCGTGACAAGCATTGCAACTTTGGCAAATATAAGGAGGTATTTGCCATGAGACATTCTATTGGCCTATTTCCATCAGTGAATTGAATAGGCTATATTGATTGAATATTTATATTGATACTAGCCGGCTAAGCAGACGTTGTTCTGCCGTTTACGAATACCCTTCCTATAAAAATACCATAAATACACAATAAAAAAATATTGAGGTTCACTTATCGCGATAAAAACTATCCTATCTTTCAAGTTGAACCAAACTGCACACAGAGCAAAATTTCAGTTTTGAAATTCATTGGGGACAAACAATGTGACACATAATTTTTATATATAAAGGTATCATTATCATCATCATCGGCCAATGGCAGTCCACTGATATATAGCTTATCATTATGAAAATATTATAATATTTATTATTTTCTGAGTCACGGTGCGAACAAGGGGTGGTGGTAGATTTTACGCCGTTACCATACGGCGAGGAGCCAAGTCTATTTTTTTCGGCTTTGTCGCTCGTTTAGCACCACCCGGGGGACACGTGTAGGGTGGGCCTAAGGTTAGGTGGTCGAAGCCTACGGACGCGAGCGAGCATGGTTAGATTTACTAGCAACCAAAGCTGGTAATTCTTCTGGTATGAATGATGAGATTGAAAGAAGGAAGGCAGAATTTAGACGTCTAAATAAGAGAGTAAAAGAAGTTGTTGAAAGGAAAAAGAAAGAAAGAACGGATAAGAATGATAGAAGGATATCTGATAATTTCCAGGTTAACATAAAAATGTTCTGGAAACTCGTAGGAACTGCCAGGGGAAATACAAAACAGCCTATAATGAATGCTATAAGAGACGAGAATGGATGTTTTCTGAATGATGAAGCTTCGAATTTAAACAGATGGAATGAATACTTTGAAAGCATGTTTATGAGTGAAGAGTCGTCTGAATTAAATGAACTAGAAATTCCGAAAGAAGTGGAAAGGGGTATGGAGATAAGTGTATAATGAAATAATGAAAGCAATGAAAAGCATGGAAGCAGGTAAGGCAGCTGGATATGATAGAGTATCACTCGAGATGCTAAGGGCTGGAGAGGGAGTGGTGGCAGGCCTGCTGTACACCTTGTTTAATTTATGTTGGGAATTAAAACGGGTACCGGATGACTGGTGTAAAGCAGTTATAGTACCAATATATAAAGGAAAAGGGTCACAGCAGGACTGCAAAAACTACCGTGGTATCAGCTTGCTTAGTATTGTGGGTAAACTGTATGCTAAGGTGTTAATTGAAAGAGTTATGAAAGAAACTGATGGAAAAATTTGGGATGTGCAAGCGGGTTTTAGAAAGGGAATGGGGTGTACAGATCAAGTCTTTTCCATATGCATGATTGCGGAGAAGTTTTTGGCCAAAAACCAGAAAGTTTTTTGTGCATTCATGGACTTGGAAAAGGCTTATGACAGAGTGGACAGGAATGTGTTATGGCAAACACTGAACTCATATGGGTTGAGCGCTGGTTTGATACAGGCATTAAGGTCTCTTTATAGGGACTCTAGCGCTTGTGTCAGGATCAATGGGGTCTACTCGGACTGGTTTGGCATCCAAAAAGGTGTCAGACAGGGCTGTGTAGCTTCCCCTTGGCTGTTCAACCTATTTATGGACAGGTGTTTGCAAACTTTGAAAGATGAAGAATGTGGGTTAGGAATGGGCGAGTTAACCGTCAAATGCCTTCTGTATGCCGATGATCAAGTCATATTTGTGTCATCGATGGCTGCGTTGCAAATGATGGTTACATTTATTATACATTTACAGTGAACGCAAGTAAGACGAAAGTGATGGTTTTTGAAAGAGAAGAAAGCAAGACGGTATGTGAAATAAGAATAGAAGGAGAGTTAATTGAGCAAGTGGATGAGTTTGTGTATTTGGGATGTGTATTTAGCAGGGATGGTAGATATGATAGGGATATAGAACGACGAGTAAATGCAGGGAATAGAGTGAATGGGGCACTACACTCTATTATGAAGAACCAGAATGTGTCAAAAAAGGCACGTATGGTAATTCATAATGCTCTGTTAGTCCCTACTTTAATGTATGGTAGTGAAAGCTGGGTGTGGCAGAAGAAGCACGAAAGTAGAATAAATGCTGTAGAAATGCGGTCTTTAAGGAGTATGCTAGGGTTGAATCTGAATGACAGGGTGAGAAATTGGATGATAAGAGATAAATGTGGTATGTAAGATGATGTTGTGACCAGGATTAAGAAAGGAATGCTTCGGTGGTTTGGTCATGTAGAAAGAATGAATGAGGAAAGAGTGACAAAGCAAATTTATATGGCAGATGTGAACGGCCGAGTCGGGAAGGGACGCCCTAGAAAAAGTTTATCGACCAAATTGGCGATATTTTGAAAAGGGGCCACATTAGAAGTACCCTTAACCGACGAGCATGTATGCGTAGATATATGGATGTAAAGGAGGCGAAAGAGGTATGTCAGGATCGTGCCAAATGGAAGTCCGTAGTCTCTGCCTACCCCTCTGGGTGACAGGCGTGAGTGTTTATGTATTTTATGTATAATATTTATCATTATGAAATACACTTGTAATATTAAATAATAATTCAACATATTGCCATATTACTTTGCTTAGTGGTCTTCTTATCAATCATTCTGTGGTCCTTACAGTGAAAGACCTAACTTATGTTGATGCACTGTCTGTAGGGAATGTCATAGGTCACTCAATAATAAGATAAGGATGTGAATTGCATCCCTCAATATAAATAGTTTTGACTACATTGTATTTATTGATACTCTACAATAATCATAAATTATTTTAATTTTTATTTGTGGGATTACGATGATTAACAGTTTTAAATACATGACACTCAAAAACAAGATTCCAGACAGTGGCTCAGTTATAAATTGGAAAAACATAGTATAACAATATAAACAGCCTCCAAATTTTATGAAATCTGTTTGAAATTCATATAGAATTAGCTAAATTGATGAATGAAATTTAACCCAAAATATGCAATAAAAAGGAGTTTTTTTTAAGCTGCAGTTAATTGTTTTTATTTAAAAAAAAAGTATATTTTCTTATCATGTGAATACAAGTTAGCATAACGGACGAAATAAGATAAGTATTTTTATTGTACTAATAAATGAAACAATATAAAATAGATAATAAAATATATTTAATAGATCATTCATGAATAAACTAAAATAAGAATAATTAATTATTTTGTATAAATGTTAAAACCTAGTTAGTATAATAAATATAATTTCCAAAATACTTAAAATCAGAGGTAACAAATTAACTTTCTCTAGAGAAAGTTAAGTTAGTCTCCCGTTAATGTGGGATAATCACAAAGGCGGAAAAGTGGCAACATTTAACCTAAATCGCAGTATTCAATAATTTTATTTAATTATTTTAGGTTTTTATGTTTATATGAAAACATGAACTAAAACTTATGTGTCGAAAGTTATTCCACTTGATTTATTATGTTTTTGTGATCTTGAATTTCACACATTCTTTCACTGCACTATTACCCATTTTTTGTCACGAATCGTTCGGTTTAACTCTGTCGGCGTCACATTGAACACTGAACTGACGTTAGCTAGGCATATGGCTGTGGCGGTATGTACAGTGGCAACGCTTTGGCGCGGTTATTACTGATCTAGTGTAATATATAAATCAATGCACATACTCCTCAAATTCTTTATAAAAAAGAGTGTAAGTAAAACAGTGCATGTTTCCAATGATTATTACATATAGTTTTATATTGTCTTTCACTGGTGACTATAAGAAATCTTACTGTCTAAACAAGACTAATTTTTAAGGGAAAGTAAATAGTTTGGATATATACCCATTTCCAAAAAAATTATTATAAATAAATCCGATTTTTTTTAACATAAGATATCAGATCTTTAATAAAAACTCGGATTTTTGGTTTTCATTATAAAAATCATAATATGTGATAGGTATTACATGGTAGAGCCATGCTGCAGCTATATTATGGTTGTAGCATGAATGGGTTGGCTCGACTGAGGAAGGACCACGCTCTCACAGAATACCAGCATAAAATAGCAGCTTAATACTGCTGTATTTCCTATGGTGAATGTAGAGATCCGGTGACCCTTTTTTACTGGAAACGAGGCATTTCATCTTAGTCCTTAGGGGTGACACTGCATCTGCATTTTGATTCTTAATCGAGGATAAATGTAGATGTATATGGGACACAGCATCCACTTACCATCATGTGGACTGTGTGTTCGTTTGTCACCGTTAATCTATAAAATAAAATTTATTTCAAACCCCACATAATAAAAAATGTTTCTTGTACAAATAAGTGGCCTGGTGCGACCACTTAAACTTTTGGATCCTGCACTGTAATATCAAATCATTTAACTTAAAATTGTTTCAGGAGGGAGAGTGCGAGTCCTTACAAGAACCCAATGGTCGGAACAATGCTAAGGGGGTAGATCTGAACCGTGACTTCCCTGATCAGTTTGACCACAACCGTTCCAGGGATGATGCATATCTATTCGGAGGTCGGCAGCCAGAAACCGCAGCTCTCATGCGCTGGGTGTTGAAGAAGCAGTTTGTGCTTTCTGGTAACTTGCATGGAGGAGCTATAGTTGCCAGCTATCCATACGATGATTCTAGGTGAATTCCCGAAACTTATTTATTTCTTGCTCTGTAAGCAGTGTCATTGGCACTACTGAAAATTAATAAAAAACTAAACTAGGAATTTAGTAATGTTTTTTAGTGGTATTACACACATTGAATGCGAAGCGGAGATTCTGTACGGTACAAATATTTGTATGGCCTACAAGTAATTGTTCCGGGTCTGGATATTTGTCCTTGTGAAATTTATGTTTGTAAACTGCCCCAATACAGCCACAATACAGGAGAAAATCCTATTGGGGAGGTAACGTTTAAAAAAAGATGTAGTGCTCTACTGTCACCAAACCAAAAATCGCGATCCACTTAAATCACTTCCACCAGCTTTATATTTCAATTATATCGGGTGTCCGGTAATGAATGGATAACCTTGAAATGTCTTATAGTACAACTTATGGCCGTCCTGAAAAAAATACGAAAAATAATATATCACAAGTAGTACCTTTGATATATTTTTTTTAAAGAAAAGTCGATTCTTTTCTATCTTATTTTACTGTCTTGAACACTATGACCAAAAATGAATGATTTCTATTGGTTTTTTGTTATATTATTATTATACACTAACTGTGCTTATAGGTAAAATGTAAACAATATGAATAGCTTTTGCAGTTTTTATTTAAAAAATTCGCAAATCAATTTATTTCTGAAAAACATGCAAAAAATATTATTTAAGCGAAGTTCAAACCTCTTGGGTATGAAAAAAATGTATGAATGTATGGGTGACCAATAATTTTACAATAATATCGGTTTCGTGTAGATTTTATAATAGTATAATTCATAAATGTATCTTCCATAAATAGTGACTTATTGCCATTAATGTAGAAAAGGAGAAAATTTGACTAAGTAACAAAATTTGTAATATGGGAACATTTATTAAATTGAATTGTGTCTGATCATTGGGGATTAATAAAAAACAACATTTAAAATTAAAATATTTTATTTTTCGTTAATTTACAACAAATGTTCAAATTGTTTGCCTGACACTCTTATGCATGCCCTACATCTTCGGATAAATGATCTTCTGAGCAGTCTAGTGTACCGTCGCTCGCATATTTTTGATGCGGCTTCTCTGACACGACTGCGTAGTTCGTCCAAAGACCGCACGGGCTTACAGTATACTTCCTCTTTCAGACAACCCCAGTAAAACAAATCCAATGGATTTAGATCCGGTGAACGTGGAGGCCACAAAATTGGCCCTAGACGTCCGATCCATCTATTTGGGTATCTGCTATTTAAATATGCACGAACCGGAACAGCATAATGCGCAGGACAACCGTCATTTTGCAGCCAATACGATTCCCTCAGCTCCTCGGGAACCTCTTGTAATAAATTGGGGAGATCATTTTGAAGAAACTCCAAATAACTTTGCCCCGTTAAATTCCCCCGGTAATTCAAATGGGCCAATTATCATACCATTTAATATTCCGGTCCAATAATTTATTTTAAATTGGTATTGTGACCTGTCTTCACGCATAAAGATGGGGATTTTCTAGTTCCCAACTATGTAAATTGTGTAAATTTAAGTAACCGTCTCTTTTAAGCGTTGACTCATCGCTCCACAAAATTTTATTAAAAAATTGCGGGTCTTCTTCCATCTTTGCCAGCATTTGCCGGCAAAAACGCACTCTTGAGAGATAATCTCTTGGTTGGAGAGTTTGCACGCGTGTAACGTGGTAAGGGTGGAATTAGTTTTTCTTTAAAATATCGTGTACGGTCGATTTTCCAATACCTGTGCGTCGAGCTATTGCTCGCGTAGAGGTTGAAGGATCGTTTTCAATATCCTCAAGCACCACGTCTTCTACATCAGGACGAGCGATTCTTCCAGCGCTAGCATCACCGACACCACTACCCGGCATTCTTCCTTCAGAGTAACAACCGTGGACTCTTATAAATACACGCCAGTCTGGGTGGCGAGCATTAGGGTACCTCTTCCTATAAAGAGCTGCGGCTGCATTTGCGTTGCCTCTGCATTCTCCATAAATAAAATGCATGTTTGCATATTCTTGTGCCGTGTACTGATGACGTGGCATTTTGATAGCTAAAAGTCCAGTTTAGTCCAGAAACAAGCCAAATCGTCGCAAATATCACCAAACGCAAAACAAGTCCAAATCAATAAGAAAAACAAATAGTCCGGTAAAATAGCCAAGTGGTCGTTTTAACACTGATTTAAATAATTGCAAAGGAGACAAAATAAATACATGCGAAGTCGAGCAGGTCGTGTGACGCACTAAGTTCTCTTTTACATTTAGCTCTTCTCTCTCCCACTTACCCAATTCAGACCTCTCTTTGTCTAACACAAAAGGCAGCAGGTAGCAAATATGAAGGTCACACGACCCATTTCACGCTAGTAAAGTAACCATTTCAAGATTTAAATTGGTTATTTTATTACATTTAAATAAGTTAATTTCTAATACTTAATTTGGTTTGAATTTGTTTAAAAATAGCTGTTTTCATGTATGATCAACTCCTGATGTGTTTTTATTAATTCCCAATGATCAGAGACAATTCAATTTAAAAAAATGTTCCCATATTACAAATTTTGTTACTTAGTCAAATTTTCTCCTTTTCTACATTAATGGCAATAAGTCACTATTTATGGAAGATACATTTATGAATTATTTCATTATAAAATCTACACGAAACCGATATTATTGTAAAATTATTGGTCACCCATACATTCATACATTTTTTTCATACCCAAGAGGTTTGAACTTCGCTTAAATAATATTTTTTGCATGTTTTTCAGAAATAAATTGATTTGCGAATTTTTTAAATAAAAACTGCAAAAGCTATTCATGTTGTTTACATTTTACCTATAAGCACAGTTAGTGTATAATAATAATATAACAAAAAACCAATAGAAATCATTCATTTTTGGTCATAGTGTTCAAGACAGTAAAATAAGATAGAAAAGAATCGACTTTTCTTTAAAAAAAATATATCAAAGGTACTACTTGTGATACATTATTTTTCGTATTTTTTTCAGGACGGCCATAAGCTGTACTATAAGACATTTCAAGGTTATCCATTCATTACCGGACACCTGTATAATAAAAAAGTACACCAATAGCAAGAGGAGATTCTAATTATACTTATAACATAGTTATAAAACTATTTATTTCAATTTTTATTAAAAAAAAGTTAATTGAGAATGATTTCACTTGCATGTCGGTTGGTTGGTATAGATGTAAACAAGATATCTTTTGAAAAACTGAACTCATCACTGAGATTTTTTTTATTAGCTTTAGATTTTAATCCTCAGTGTTAATCAAAAATCCTAGGTTATTTAACAAAAACCAGGTTTTGTCATAAAACTGCGACATGTACAGTTTAAGAAATTTATTCCCCAAAAAGAATATAATTTACTTATCTGGAGAAATAACAAATTAATCTTAGATATTTTATGTATGAACATAATGTGAAGAATGGAAGATACTTGTAAATCTATTATGTAGTGGAGATGTATAGATTATCAAATAGTGTAGGATATCTTTTTAAACCATAACTGTTATTCAGCACTGGAAAAGATTGTTGCGAAGAAAGCCGGTCTCCAGATGACGCATTGTTCAAACACCTTGCTACTGTGTATGCGTCGAAAAACGTCGACATGAAACGAGGGAACTCCTGCAAACCTGACAACTTTAAAGATGGTATCACCAATGGCGCTTTCTGGTATTCTGTTCAAGGTAGGTTTAATTTTCATTTAAACTGGCTCAAATAAAAAAAGTATGTGTGCATTTCACACGCGGTAGAAGTGAAACCTTCACAGATGGAAACGGAGATAATAGGAAACACTATTCTGTATTCTATCTCATTCTCTCGTAGGCTAAATCCTGCACATGTATATGTTTGTCGCTTTTTCGTTTCATCGAATATCAAATTACAATGATTCTAAAGAAGTTTTCGCTTCAAAAAGAATATATATTTTGTTATGCTAAGGCTGCGCGATTTAGATCAGAGGCTTATAATAAGTAACAAAAAAAACAAAGAACCTTACATAATATTTTAGTCTCAATATCTTATCATGTGAAAGGCGACGGAGGCAAAGTAAAATAAGAAATGACAACGAAAAGCAATTAATGCTATTGCTATCCTGTAGCAGGCGGGTTGCAGTCATACGTCGTGAAGTTATAAGTCATGGAGTGGGGTGGGGGGTACCCATTACAATATTGAGAAATATCAGCCCAACCAGTATGTGGAATGGCACGATACTTTCAGCAAAAGAACTAAAAGACAATGTGATTATTGCAACTATCCTCACTGGGCCTGAAGCCTACCCATAACATTTAAGCGGCTTCAATTCTACAGGCTACAATCCTGGTCCTGTAATGATGATAATGATGATGTCAATATTTGTAAAATTCTTATGATATTGCTGGGTTTCTTGCTGGTACTTCTCAGGGCAGAAATTTTTTCTCAACCAGTGGTCATTACATGTCATATATTAAATATTATTTTGGTGGTTTGTGTGTGACAGGATATTTGACAGAACGGAAAACATTTGTCTCCTTTACAGGTGGTATGCAGGACTTTAACTATGTCTATTCCAACTGTTTTGAGGTTACCTTCGAACTGTCTTGCTGCAAGTACCCAATCGCTAGCCAGCTACCACAATTCTGGGAAACGAACCGGGATTCTCTTATAGCCTTCATAGAACAGACCCATATTGGTGTTAAGGGTTTTGTTTTCGATGAGGATGAGCTGCCTATTAAGGTAAGAAACATATTTTTGGCTTAGTTTAACTTATAAATAAAAATGTTTTAAACAATTTGTGTATACATAATTTTCAAAATATAATTGACTTTCTACTATAGAGTAATATAACATGATGTACCGTTGTGCGAGTGAAAGACTCAAGCAATTGAACTGCATAAGGGAAAAGTTGCTGGTCTTGTACAAAGGAAAAAAATCCTAGGATTGGATAGGATATTTGATTAGAATTCACGGCTCGATTGCTGCGGGTTCGAATTTCGCACGGAAAAAGTATTTGTATGGCCTACAAGTAATTGTTCCGGATCTGGATGTTTGTTCTTGTGGAATTTATGTTTGTAAACTGCCTCCACGATACAGGAGAAAATCCTAAAGTGGGGGTAACGTTTTAAAAAAAAAAAGATAGATGATATGTTTCAGTATGAAAAAAATAAATTGCCTACAAATAATGTGAACAAGTTGTTGCATTATTTGTAGGCAATGTTGTCTCTGAATGAAACTCTGGGTGAGAATATGTGTGAAAAGTGTGGTTTGCAAGACATTGTGACTAGGATTAAGAAAGGAATGTTTTGGTGATTTGGATAAGTATAACGGAAGAATGAGAAAAGAGTGACAAATTTATGTTGCACAAGTTTGTGGCAGAGTCGGCAAGGAACACCTTAGACGGAAGTTTATCGACAAAATTGGTGATATATTAAAGTTGTGCCAAATTAAGAGTGCCCTTAATCGAAAGGCATGTATGCATAAGTATATACTCTCGCTTCTTTCATATCCATATGGATATGAATGAAGCTAGAGAGATGTGTCAGGATGTGTCAAATGAAAGTCTGTAGTCTCTGCCTACCCCTTTGGGAAACAGTAGTGAGAGTTGATAAATGGTAAATTGCCTATATAATTAGAAGTTTTGATATCAACTATTATTACCAAAACATCAATGCTATAAATTTACAATCGATTTTTTTTTCAGGATGCGCAAATTATCGTCGAAGGCATCAAACATTCTGTGAGGACCACTGAACATGGTGCTTATTGGAGATTGCTCTTACCTGGGGAATACAATATCACTGCCATAGCTTCCGGGTAAGTGATTGTGATCAAATGACTCTGTGTAGCAAAGTGAAAAGAAATTACAATAACAAGTTTGATTGATTGATATATCCACAAACAATAAGGGTCTTTGATAAATTAATGTATTAAATTGATATTTCACGCAATCAAAAATAACTGTTATCTGTATATATATATAATTGTTGCATATGTTATTGATTGTGTAATATCTGAATAACTTGGCCGATTGAGGTCATATTTATATAATGTTTCGACGCGAGGGTCTAAGTCTTCTTAGAGTTCTAGTCTAGTTATTAACAAATTCTGTATTTATGTAGCAAAATTTATTAAATTCACAATAATATATTAAGTTATGATTTCTTATATTTACGCGAACACTATACATTGATTAAAACTACTTTTACCCATCCCAAATCCTCGCGAAAGAACATCGATTCCTACCAAGGATGATACGTGAGGCTATTGAAATTAAAAAACATCCTAATTTCAATAGAGAAGGAGGCTGGGTACTACCACCTGCTTGTGATCCTATAATTAATAAAATTAAAACTAAACCCAAGCATACCACTGCAAGACTTCAAAATACAGTTAGTTCATTCTGCGTAGATCGGACCAAAGACAATAATTAAAAAGCTGAAGGTACTCCGGGTTAACTTTGACATTGGGACGTCAGTCACCTCAGTCCCCCGTGACCATGGGTGCTGGAAAGCACCCGAAACGTTGGGTATTAAAATTAATATAAATAAAACGCGATAAAATCCGTAAAAGTAGTTTTAATCAATAATATATTAAGTTGTTTAAGTACCATAAAAGTAAATTACCAAATCTGAACCCGATAGATGGCGCTGTGTTCTACTTATTTAAAATTTTATATTTGCTCCTGTAATCAATAAGTCAATTTAATAATAGTTTATATTTTTCAGCTACGTACCATCCAAGACTGTGACAGTGACCGTCACGGAAGATGTCCCAGTAACGGTCAACTTTACTGTTCACCGCCGCTTACGTTCTCTTACCGATGGTAAGTCTGGATTACTCCGCCATGATGAAAACTCTGGAGTCACTCTCACACACTGCTGGGTTTTAATTGTCAATCTTGTACTGGTACTTATAGTTAAGTCATAAAATTAATTTTATTCTTTGGAAGGGTCTTTCACCATGACTACTATACTTCTTCTCTAATAACTATTCCTTCTAAATACAATAACATCATCTTGTGTCGAAAAAAAAAATCTATTTTTGTTATTTACCTAATTGTATATATTTGTATGTTAAGTCGTATCCGGTTCGAAGGACCATTTTGGTCCTTCATAATACCATACTCAATAAAACTGCTTGAGCGTACACCAAATAACCATATCGTCTAACAAAAATTATTAAGCAATCTAAGGTGGTGGGTAAAATGTACAGAAAGTTGAACATTATTTATTTAATTATAATTTAAATGAAATTTATATTAACTATTGAAAAAGTATTGCAGATAATTTATTGTTTTTAAGCTATTGTGAAATTAATGGATATTTGAGATGTGCCAATGTTAAATATAGATGTTAATGTTAAGGCTGTCACTAGGTATAAGATATTTGACAACTACCCTCAGTGCGACTTATTTTGTGGATAAAATTATCAATATACGGAGTGTTTGAGTAATGATTATGAGAGAGAATGAATATTTTACGGTCCTGATGGTTACGTTGTAGGAATTTTTAAGTGATTACATAAATCAGTATTAAATTGTAAAAAATACTACAATAGTTAAATGTTTTGGCAACAAATAATTTTAGGTTTAGCATCTAATATTTAATACGTAACAAATCATTAAAGTAATTACGAATTATACTTTATATTTGACATAAATATATGTTATAAGTGAAGACAATGGTTATCAATGTATATTAGGTCTTCTGACTGAATATTTTACATACTATTATTTTTAATAAAAGTTTGTTAGAACAATATACAATATACATATAAACACCGGCACTACTAAATGAAAAATTTTAAACTATGATTCAACTTATTGCAGAATTTTTAAAAAATTCTCATCAGTCGTAAGCAATAGTTCATTGCTTTATGCATTCTTCCATAGTAGAGATGATTTGCCAGTATCCCCGTAAAGTTCGCCAACACATATTAAGGCAGCGCGGCGGACAATTCCTTGCCCTAAAACCCTCTCAGAAATGAGCGCGAGGCCTGTGCCCAGGAGTGGGAAATAAAATAATTAATATAAAAAATAATTATGGTGAAAGTTTGTGCAGTAAAAACTTTTAAAAAGTTTTTTAAAATTTATAATATATAATATAACGGATTGGCGATGGTAGTATCAGTCCCAACATTTAGCGAAACTTCCCGTTTCTCGTCATAAGATTTTACATCCACTATAAATACCAGATGATAATACCGCCAGATCTATCTGAAGCAAAAATAAATCCTGAGCCTTTCCCTACATAGCATAGAGTACATTTTAATATACTAAAAGGTAGCCTCTTGCGATAACCACGGGATGGGATAAGGTGATTATGATGCCTTTGACTAATACACAAACAAAGAAAGTGGTTATTTAGGATTTTATTATGCTGTATCGTTTATCAATTATGGCCTTAAAATTTCACTACACAGGTTTTGAATTATATGTTAATGATTTAAATCAAAAATACGTAAAACTTTGAACAAATAAAGATATTGAATTATTCATTCCAACCCTCAAAACTGGTGGTGGGTTTAGTGCACGCAATTGAGGGAGGGCGGGAGGTGCTCTTCAATCCAGGTAAGACACATTGTATTTAATTAATGCGGATGGTTGCGAATTAGATATTAATCTTTATTATAATGAATTTCCGCAAAGTAACGCCTGATTCTATCAATTAACGAATATAATAAGTTGCGGGTTTACATGTAAAATCTTTTGTTATTAATCTCAGTATTTTACGTATTGTTGCATCTTCTGCAGGGTAGATTTTAAGATATTTAATTTGGAAAAAACATGTTGATGTCGAAAGTCTTCTACAATATGTAACAAAAACGCTGTGATTCCCGTTAAGTTCATTATCAGAATCAGTATTCAAACGTATAAAAATAACTTTACTTGATTAAACTCTACCATAGAAAAACATTTATTATATTTTTATTTGCAAATTGTATATGGTTTTATGGCCTTTGCATTGGCCGAGGATTAACAGTATTATTGTCAAAGATCCCGTTTTACCGATGCGCATTTCATTTAAGCAGTAACTACACTCATATTTGCAGAAAGTAATCAACAGATTACTAATAAATTCGAAGGAAGCAAATCTTTGACCATTTGGTTTAGATAGTGGTACGCCTAAATGTAACAAAATGTACATAGTTGCCGTAAATATGCCATTAGTAATTAATAATATGATTATTTTAATGAAAACTAGCAATAATTGTTTCTTAACAATAAAAAGGCTGATTTTACATTTTGTTCGAGACTTGCCATTTTTTTGTCTTAGTATTTAGTCAAGGATGTAATAAAAAGTGTCTATACAAATTATTCAAAAATGGTTTTAATTGGTTACTATATTTTGTAATTTAATTCTATGTTTTGTGTACTATTCAGGATTACATGTTTTAATGTTTATCGGTAAAATAATAATAAATATACCTTCTATGATTTTTGATTTGTACGAAGTAATGCCGTGTCGAGTTAATATATAAAATGATTTTTCGTATGTTTGTTCATCTTCTATGTGTTCACCAAGTAACACTAATACGATAGCGATGAAACCTTTGTGAGTTGCTGTGCGCTCGCCCGCTAAGGACAAGAGACAAAGCTTGCCTGGCATATTATATATGTAATCTACGCCTTAGCTTCGTTGGATTAGTGTTCGGAAACGCATTTTTTAAATTTTCCTATTTTAAAAAAATATTAGTAATCTTATTAATTAACATTACTAATATTCCTTTTAATCACTCCTGGTAAGCTTGAAACGCTTGTATTAGGAGTGGTTCACGACGGTAGTTAAATGGCGGATTCGAACCCACCTTTTGAGTCTACTGTCGCTTCAAGTTGCTAATCATTAGGTCCCGGGTTCGAATTTCGGGTAGGGCCAAAAACAAATTTTGGGTTTTTCTGTTTAAAAATTTTTTAGTAGCCGTCCGGAATCAGGAAGTTGACGGTGTCTCGCCTTCGGCCTCGAAAAGCACGTAAACCAATTGCTTTACGTGCTTTTTCGAGGCACGGCGATGAAACACCACAAACTTCCTGGCTTCGGGCTGTTACTGAGAATTTTTGATCGGAAAAACACAATAACTGATTTTGGCCCGATCCGGAATTCCGGATCCGGGAATCCGGGACAACGGATTAACAGTTGCGTTTACGACCACTAGACCTATCCCAACGGTCTATGTGAGTGAGGGAATAGAAAGTGCACTGGGGGAGGTCTATGTCCAGCCGTGGCCTTTTGTTTTCAGTAATGATGAAAATTGTACCAAAAATCGAAAATCACAGATAGACATATTTAATTGTTTGTTTTAATGTTTACCTCATGTACTCCTGAATGGACACTTGTTTTTACTTTTTTTATTTTTGTGGTGTTGGTATCCTGTTACGCGCTGTTGATTTGCCCTTCTTTCTTCACTTTTATTTTGGCCTTTCTACCCCACGTTTCCTTTTTCAATCCTTCCATTACATTTTGCAGCTGTATCAGGTGGTACGATGTATCGGTGAGTCATCTATCTCTCTACTTGACAAAAAGAATTGATTGTGAAATAAGTGAAAGCTGATATTTTTACTACCTTCCTTGTAATCATACTTAAATTAATTATTAATGATCTCTATGCCTGTCTCTTTCTATTGTCATTGAATGAAAAGAGAAAGAGCAACTTTAAGCATTATTTTATTTATCTACTTTATCAGTAAGGCGCAATTGTGTCTTTTCCCTTAATTATATGGACACTAGTAATACAAACTACTCTTTCTTTAGTTTCAAATTTCACGATTTTTTATTTATTTGTAAATACACATGATATTTTACTGAAATTAACAAATAATTAAAAATAAAGATATTGTTCATAGCACATTGCATTTAAATAAAATATGATATTTGTACGTCTTCCTGGTTACTGTCGTGCCCATAAGACTCCTGGTGGTAGGATTTCTTATCTGCCTAGAAATCACTCTACGTAGATTCCACATAGTTAACTATTTCTGCCGGCGAATAGCAGTGCTTGTGCTACTGTGTTCGGGTCTGGAGAGTATACAGAAACAGTATAATTACAAGATAACAGACATTCCATTTAAAGGTAGGACCGCACTTGGCGGAACTGCACCGCAGCGGAACTGAGCGACACGAGCTGGTCAGTTGATCAACTTTGCCGCGCAGTTCTGTTGCAGTATAGTTCCGCTGCCTAGTGCGTGTTGTTGCTTAGTGCGTGTTGTCTCATATAATTTCATATATAGAATATTTTGATGCGTCGTGTCGGTCAGTTCCGCTGCGGTGCAGTTCCGTCTAGTGCGGCCCTACCTTTAATCCTCAGCGGTAACAATGCCTCTGTATCCAGCTGTTTAATTTGAAATTTATTTCTTTAAATATTAAAGTATAAATATTGATGATTCAGAACAAAACGAAAAACTAAGACCATGTAAACGTTGTTGTTTCTCTATGGTTTAGAGTCACACTGTAGCTATATTATAGTTGTAGCACGAATGGGTCGGCTCGACCAGGGTTCGACGCTCTCACAAAATACCAGCGTAAAATAGCAGCTTATAACTGCTGTGTTTTGTAGGGTGAGTTTAGAGATCCGAAGACTCTTTTTAATGCAAACGAGGCATTCTATCCTAGTCCCAGGGGTAACAACGCACCTGCAGTATGATTCTTAATCGAGGATACATGGAGATGATGTCTGTGGGCCACATGATCCACTTAGTTTCTGTGTGCTCTTTGTCAACCTTATTTTATTTAAATATTCATATATTTGCCTCGATGATCACATATCTAATAACGTTACATATTTAATTATGTAATTTTCAAAAAAAATTTCAAATATCCTTATATCATATAACGGTCATTATTCAAAACAAAATTCATATTAACCGGAAAAAAAAACAATAAACCTTACCTGGGCATTTCAAAATTAAAATCCCCCAAAAATCCGTGGGCAAATCTTCAGAGCGTAACAGGCACCCTCGTCACAACATTGATGGCCTGTCACCAGCTGACTTCATGCACCACAACTACGTGAAGATGGAGAGCTACCTTAAGCATCTGCACGAAGCGTACCCGGATATCACTCGACTGAGCAGTATTGGAAAGTCTGTGGAGGAGCGGGAGCTGTACGTGCTGGAGATAACGAGAGACCCCGGCAGGCATATACCTGGTGAGTCAAACACACAACTATATTACAATGTATTATATTCATTAATTACTCTTAATAAATAATCGAGGGCTAATAATTTCCGTTAACCAGGTGTCGCTTGTAAGGACTGAGGTTTTTTTTATAGAATAACGGAGACAAACGAGCGCACAGTCCTGATACGTAGTACCTGATGGTAAGTGGATGCTGTGGCCCATAGACTTGAATTTTTTTTTCGTTGCACAATGTCATATAATTGAAAAATTGCGCTTTCAATAAAAATTTATCGGTTTCTAGATTATTAGAGCAAAATAGTGCTGCTTGGTGTGTTTCGTATGGTGAGTGTGGAGAACCGGAGACCCTTTTTACTGGAAACGAAGCATTTTATCTTAGTTCTCGAGGTGACAACGCATCTGCATTATAATTCTTAATCGACAATAGATATAGATGTCTTTGGACCATAGCATCCAATTACCATCAGGTGGACTGTGTGCTTGTTTGTAATCTAATAAAAAAAATTACCATATCACCATGTTGGGAAGATCAACTAGATGAGAGCTGAATCGATACCCTCTATAATGTAAATCGTAGCATTGCATTAATAAAAATGTGATTACAATTTACATTTATAAAATTAAAAAAAAATAAAGTGTCTGTTTCTAATGTAGAAGTAACAGCTTTTTACTACTTATTGTCTGTCTGTATTACCGTCTATCTGTCTGTCTATTTATCCCGGCTAATCTCCGAAACGGCCAGACCACTTTTGACGGGACTTAACTGGCAGATAGTTGATGTTATAAGGAGTAACTTAGGCTACTTTTATTTTAGAAAAATAATTAGGGTTCCGCGCAAAAAGTTAAAACCCATGAAATCCATCGTAATTAATTTTGCGCGGACGAAGGACAGTTAGTGTTAGATATAACTTAAATTAAAAATTAAAAAAAAATACCAAAACAAAAAGAGCTAATGATCTTCAAACGGTTCAACAGATTTTCTTGAAACACAGCTAAGAACACTTTCGATTAAGATCTTTCAAACGAAAAAAACTTAATCAAAATCGTTTCATCCCATTACAAATACGCACTACAATCTTATAACAACCCTTTGTTTTCGTCAGGAGTTAAAATAGTAAAAGACTTCAAATTCTTGCAAGTTCCTCGTGGAGATGGTCTAGTTGTTGCTAACCGGTATACATTTTGACGTCCATAGGAGATTGAAACACGCTCAAATTAAATAAATACCAACGCACCGTGGCGGCGTCACAGAACCCACTACCCTTTGTCATCCCGTGGGTGTCGTAAGAGGCGACAGCTAGAGAGAGAATGGAACAGGATATGGGCAGCTGCATCTTTCTGATAACATCTCAAAATAATAAAACAACTGCGATTACCAACCCGTTTGCCCAGCGTGGCAACCATGGCAAATATCCCTCTTAAAAGGCTACCAATGGAGAAGGCTTATGTTCAGCAGGGGTATAAAATAAATAGTTTTAACTTTTGTTGAGTTTGACTAATCTTGATTGATTATCCACCCATTGGTCGGTCACCACCACCACGACCCTAGCGTAGTTTTAACAGTTAATTCAACCATACAGAAGGTACATACATAACAGATGAGTGTTATGTATGTACCTTCGTATATTAAATACTAGCTGTTCCCTGCGACTTCGTCCACGTGGAATTTATTACGATTGGATTTCAACTGTAAAAATTGTGTAAGTTTCAACTGTGTAGTCGAGGGATACTCATCCCAATTTACCTGTCCGGTAGTTGTTGTAGTTGTGGTATGGTATACGGGTATGCGACCCCGGCTACCCTAGCTATTACTGTCCTATCCCTTGCCCTCATGCACGGTAATATCCTACATTTCCTATTTCCTACCCTAACTTATCTTACTCTACCTTTTCACACCACCTATCCTTCCCGTTTTCCTATTCCTACCCTCCGCCAATCCAACGTCAGCCGCGCGGATGGATGTATGGCTAGGGGCGAGCCTAGTCGTTAGCGTGCCACACTGCCCTGGGACCGGGCGACCCCAGAATTAGGCTAGCCTTACCCTGGCATGCGGGGCTCTGCTGGGTGGGACAAACCTTTCCTTCGCTATTCGTGGGAACGCAATGGATAATCAAAAAATTAACCAAAATGGCGGCGATGTGGTTCGCCACCCATCACGTCTCGTTTCTCGCGGGGGCGAAAAGCGGCCCACGGAGAGCCGCTTCGCTACGTTGAATGTAAGAGGAGGGATGGAAGGTAAGGTAGATGGAGTATGTCAGATGATGGATGAACATTGCATTGATATTCTGTGCGTGAACGAAACCAAGAGGAAAGGATGTGACATCACGGTTCATGGCCCCTACACGGCATACTGGTCGGGAGTCCCCCAAACCAGCCGAGGTTGTCAGGGAGTTGGTGTGATTCTTTCATTTTGAATGGTTGAATGTGTGATGGAGCATGAATGTGTAAGCCCAAGACTCCTCTGGATTAGGTTAAAAGTCGGACTCACCCGCTTGTTTATCCTTGGGGTCTATGCACCGACGGAGCTGCGTGGAGGTGGGTCACTAAAATCACAACAAGAGAGAGAGGAATTTTGGGATAGCATGAGAGAGGTCTTGAATAAATGCGGAGAGAATGAACGGATCGTGATGTTAGGGGACTTTAATGGATGGGTTGGAGTAAAGCGTGATGGGTATGAAGGAGTTCTGGGTATGTTTGGGGACGAGAGAGTGAATGACAATGGGAGAAGCCTGCTTGAAGTATGCTTGGAATGGAATCTGTGCATGACCAACACAATGTTTGACCACAAAAAGATCCATCTGTATACAAGAGATGAGGGTGAGTCTAGAAGTATGATTGATTTTGTAATTGTGGATGAAAGACTGAAGAAGAAAGTGCTAGACACTCGGGCATACCGCGGTGTAGGCCTCGACACAGACCACTTCCTGGTCATAGCCCGAATGCGTGGCCTCTTTAAACGGTGGCGACACCGAGGGGCCGAGCCTACGAGTGTTTTGGACAGAGTAAAAGTGGAAAATCTACAAGAAAAAGAAAAGAAAGACGAGTATGTAGAGAAACTGAAAGAAAGTTTTAAAGGGATAGAAGAGATAGGAGTGATTGAAGATTTGTGGGAGACATTTAAGAAAGGGGTTGTAAATGTTGCGATTGAGGTATGCGGGGTATCTAAAAGAAAGAAAGGGAGAAAGAATGATAACGTGTGGATGGATAAAGATGTACAAAGGGTAGTGCAAGAAAAGAAGAAAGCGTGGTTGGATTGGTTAGCAACAAAAGCTAACCAAAAAGTTCAAAAGGCAACGGATGACGAGATAAAGGAAGCAAGAACGAAGTATAAAAGATTGAAAACAGCAGCGAAAGAAACTGTGTCTAGAAAGAAAGAAGAAAGAAAAGATGATTTCGATAGGAGGCTCACTGAAGATTTCCAGTCAAACATTAAGTTTTTCTGGAAAACCATCAAAACAGCCAGAGGAAAAACTTTTACCTCGGAGCTGAGTACAATCGGGAGTCAAGATGGGAGCATTATAAAAGGAGAAGAGTGTGTGTTAAAGAGATGGAAAGAGTATTTTGAAAGTTTGTTTGAAAGAGAGGAAGTGCAGGTACAGCATCTGCTACCTTCCACGGAAACGAATATAAATGTTGATGAAAATGAGATAAGCATGGATGAAATAGTGAAAGTGTTGAAAAGTATGAGATTAGGTAAGGCTGCAAGGTATGACAGGATTACCGTCGAGATGCTGAGGGCTGGACAGGGCCTGGTGGCTAGTCAGCTGTACCGCCTTTTCAATCTGTGCTGGCGAAATGGGCAAGTGCCGGGAGACTGGTGCAAAGCCATAATCGTGCCATTGTATAAGGGAAAAGGGTCACGGCAGGACTGCATAAATTACCGTGGTATAAGCCTTCTTAGCGTCGTCGGTAAATTGTATGCAAAAGTGTTGATTGCAAGGGTTGTGAATGAAACAGACGAGAAAATATGGGATGCACAAGCGGGATTTAGAAAGGGAATGGGATGTACGGATCAGGTCTTTTCCTTGCGGTGCATAGCCGAAAAGTGTTTGGCTAAAAACAAGAAAGTCTACTGCGCCTTCGTAGATCTAGAAAAGGCCTATGATAGAGTGGTGAGGAATGAATTGTGGTCAGCACTGTCCGTGAACCGTGTGAGCAGTGTCCTCATACGAGCATTGCAATCTCTTTATAGGGATTCTAGTGCTTGTGTAAGGATAAACGGGGCATACACTGAATGGTTTAATATCGAAAAAGGTGTTAGACAGAGATGTGTAGCGTCACCGTGGCTGTTTAATCTGTTCATGGACAATTGTTTGACAGATTTAAAAGAGAATGAAAGTGGATTGAGAATGAATGAGTTACTCGTCAAATGGTTTCTCTGTGCTGATGACCAAGTATTACTTGCGTCTTCGGCCGAGGAGTTGCAGGAGATGGTAACTGAGTGGAGCTTTTGTTAGAAAGGGAATGAAGATGAATGTAAAGAAGACGAAAGTGATGGTGTTTGAAAAAGATGAGGCAGTGACAGACTGCAATATCGTGATTGAAGATGAACAAATTGAACAGGTGAAAGAGTTTGTGTATCTGGGGTCAAAGTTTACAAGAGATGGAAAGTGTGAGAGTGATATCGAAAGAAGAGTGAATGCAGGAAACATGGTGAATGGAGCTTTGCACTCCTTTATGAGCAGTCGGAAAGTGTCTAACAAGGCTCGTTTGGCTGTGCATGAGGGGGGTGTTGGTTCCGACACTCATGTACGGAAGTGAAAGTTGGGTATGGCAGAAGAAACATGAAAGTAGAATAAATGCAGTTGAGATGAGAGCATTAAGAAGTATGATAGGAGTTAAACTGAGTGACAGGATAAGAAATAGTGAGATAAGGAAACGTTGTGGTCTGAAAGAAGATGTAGTGACAAAAATTGAGAAAGGTATGCTGAGATGGTTCGGCCACATCGAGAGAATGAATGAAGAACGATTGACGAAAAAAGTGTATAAGGCGAGTGTGCATGGAAGTGCTGGAAGGGGTAGACCTAGGCGGACTTTTCTAGATCAAATTAGGGACGTCTTGAAAAAAGGCCAGGTTAAGAGTACCCTAAACCGTAGAGCATGTATGAAGGGAATAATGAAAGTACACGAAGCGAAACAAGTATGTAAGGATCGTAGCAAGTGGAAAGAAGTGGTCTCTGCCTACCCCTACGGGAAAGAGGCGTGATTATATGTATGTATGTATGTATTTCAACGGTTTTAATTTTTTGGCGTGGAATCACAATTATCTTTCTAAAATAAAAGTAGCCTAAGTGGCTCCTTATAACATCAGCTACCTGCCGGTGAAAGTCGCATCAAAATCGGTCCAGCCATTTTAAAGATTAGCCGTAACAAACAGACAGACAGATAGACAAACAATTTAAAAATTGTCTTTTTGTTATAAATATCGTATATACTTTCATATGTATTTAGTAAAAAGCTGTAATTTTGACATTACAAACAAACACTTCAATTTTTTTATTTGTATAGGTTTTTATAGTTAATGAAAAGAGGATATTTAAATAATGAAAAGAACCTTAGCTCGTTTAAAATTCTAATAAAATATTACAATAAACAATTGTTTTCAACAGGCAAACCTGAGTTCAAATACGTCGCCAACATGCACGGTAATGAAGTTATTGGACGTGAACTATTGCTGTTGTTGGCCAAATATCTATGCCAACAATACACCAATGGTGACGAGAGAATCCAAAGGATACTGAACACGACAAGAGTACATCTTATGCCCAGCATGAATCCAGACGGCTATGAGATGAGTAGAGAACGTAAGTTGATAATATGCTATTCAGTAATATTCAGTAGTCAAATAACAAAAGTTTATCTCGAGGAGATATTTTAGGACCTCTACTCTTTAAAAAGTTAACTAGCTATCTTATGGTGTAGTTTTTTGTCCGTTCACTGCACTGCTCAGTTGCATATTCTATACTCACGACACATGAACATTCTTATAAGTGCATGTGCATTTATTTATTTTTTAATACTAGCAATGATATTAACATTACTAATATGTACATTTGCAAAATAATTTATATTGGTCGTGTAGCCGAATATGAATTATTTTACACCGAATATTAGGCAAAAGTATTCATTTGTCTGAGGGATATTGTCCACGAGAAGAAAAGGAGTAAACTATTGCCTAAAATGCAGAAAAAGTTTGTCTTTCTACACTATAATCATTCACTTCTAAATTTTAATTACGATAATTCAAGGTATAGAGAAATACATCTGCTAGTTTTTGTTAATTTTTCTAATACAAAAGTTGATTATGTGCCTATGACTACTTTAATGATTATAAGAAAAATACATTATACATTATTAAAAATAAATCAATATTTTTATTTTACCACATTAATTGAAATTAAAAATTATAAAATTAAATTTAAAATAAATAAACAATTACATTAAGTTGCATCAAATCCAGATAGAACCCCATACACAGCTTTTTTATATCTAGAAGAAATTAATCCAAAGATATCTATGTCATTAAATTTGTTTTTGTATAATTACATTATACGATTTAAAGGTTCATGCGCACCAGCATTTGTTCTATTCAAATATCTATCTACAATAAAATATCTTACTTAAATATTAGATATTCGGTATTCGATCGAATAAGTAGGTTAAAAGTAGCCAAATAGGCCGAATACCGAACAATAGCCGAATATTCGTAGCAAGACTACTAATATTCCTATTAATCGCTCCTGGTAAGCTAAAAGGCTTGTGTTAGGAGTGGTTTACGACAGTAGTCGAATGGGGGATGTTAACACTATTATACTATTTAAACTAATGTTGCTTTCAAATTTTATAGAAAGCAAGTTTTCATTTGTATTTGTATCACTTAAACCTTAGTTTATAAGAAATTGTTTGATCTTTTTTTATACCACATTTATATGTTTAATTCAAAAAATATACTTTGTAGCAGACTACAGCTCCTTAAGGGGCAGATCGAACGCGCACAACATAGACCTCAACAGAAACTTTCCTGATCAGTTTGGAATCACACAGGTATTGATTAATTTTTTATAGCATAAGGATGACAAACGTGCACATAGTCCAACTTCATCTATATCTATCCTACCTATCTATACTACAACAGCCGTCTGCATCTGAATGCAGAAGGTGGAGTGCCTCGTCTCCAGTAACAAGGGTCTCCGGTTCTCTTTTATGCTGTTTTATGCTGGTATTCTGTGAGAGCGTGGTGCCTTTCTGGAGCCGACCTATTCGTGCTACAAGCATAATACAGCTGTAGCGTGGCTCAACCATATATAAAATAAAAAAGCAACAAGCTAATAAAAAGACAAGCAAAAAGCTAAAGCAAGAAAATACGTATATGATAAAACTAGAAAGTGGAACTTATTTTTTTGAAACCTTTTTTACCATCTGTAAAAAGTAGGATGTAACATGTGAACGGAGTAGAAGCCTACTTATGGCACTGATATTTTATAAACATTTTCAACTATCGAAATTTAATTCATATACACCCTACTTTACGGCCGGCAATAGAACATTAAATTTAGTAGGCATTCTTCACTTTGTCACTTCGCAGGGTCACAGGATAGGGTGGAAATAAAAAAATATGATCAAACCTATTGTAATATAATTCAATTTAAGAATCTTACGTAACAGAGATAACAAAAAGATACATTTTCAGGACAACCGTGTACTGGAGCCCGAGACGGAAGCGGTGATGAGATGGTCACAGTCGCTGCCTTTCGTACTGTCCGCGAACTTACACGGTGGGGCGCTGGTGGCCAACTATCCTTACGACGGTAACCCCCTTATGACCAGCGGCTCAGAGTTTCTCACGCCTGATAATGAAGTTTTCGTCCATTTGGCCCACGTGTACTCTGATGTGAGTTCCTTCCTACTGCTATTATTTCAACTTATTTATTAGTAAGTAACTATAATCAAGTAGTCACTAGTTTGTACAACCTTAACTTATTTTATAATTTACTTTGAAAAAAAAAGTCTCACTGGGTTTCTTGCTGGTTCTACCGAGGACAGACATATTTGCGAAGCAGTGGTTAAAGTAAAAAATTACTGTCAGTAAAAATTAAATTCTATTCTTTTCTTCTACTAAGAAGATAACCGTTTGTTTTCATCGACTGCCTCGGATTGAGGGTGGGTTCCGATATACACTGTGACCACTGTAAGGTATGAGAGTTTTGGCGAGTCCATGGATTGTCGCTCCTGTTTTGTCGCATGAATAATGGTTTGAAGTGGATTTTGATTCGTAAAAGTGATGCGATTTTGTGAATTAAGTGTCTGCGCGTGTGAACTATAGAGAAAACGACGAAACAAGTGCTTTGATGTTGATATAAACCTCAAGTTATTTTGAACGCTTGGGCGCCTTATGAACTTGAGTGGCTGTCGCCATCAATTGTCCGCTGGGTTGAGCTGTCGTCAAAATCTCCCAAAAACTTCACAATGTGACGCATCAGCCATATTGTGAGGAAAAAATATATAAAAATGAAGATTAGGAAAGAAATGATAGGCTCAGAAGGGTTAGAACCCAGAGCCGTGAAGCCAGTTAAAACAAAGTAAGGTATGACGTCAATTCAGTATTCTGTAAAGCCGTTATTTTTCAGTTTGCTATACTGGTTACTGTTTAAAACGGAACGTAGTCCCGTATGCTATTATCCCCATTTTTCGACACTGTTTTCAAATGAAAATGTTATCATGTACACGTTTTCTGTTAAACTTAATGTCCGAGTTTACAATTACAATATTAATAATCGTTCGTGGAAGCTGTTAAATCTCTAGGCGCTGTTATGTTTTTTGATCACGTGATCAAAGTACTGAGAGCACCATACCTCGCAAGCGCTAGTGCTCACAGTACAAAAATGGCGACGATTTATGACGTCATATAATTCCCTAGGGCAGTCCATAACGCAACGAATTTTTCACCAACAAGAGCACTGAGCAGTGCTCGCAGTGTGTATCGGAACACGGCTTAATAAGAGCCCACTGTTTAACATAGTCCTCCATATCCTCCATAAATAGCCACGAGAAGGACATTTGCCATATTTGCCGTGCTAAATGGACGGGTTGGCGACAGCAGCTATATACTGAACGATTTTTTTACCGTCTGTAAAAACTAGGCTTTAACAGGTGAACGGAATAGGTTCTGATAGTGTACAATTTTTTTAAAATTTTACATTGACATATGAAATTGATCTATCACTAAATACTACTAATTGGGTATGTATAATTTTAGTTTCGATAGTTTTTTTTTAAAGGTGACACGTCACCTGATGGTAAGTGGTTGCTGCGGCCATACTAATTATCCTCCATTAAAACGAGATGGATGCCTCGTTTCCAGTAAAGGGCTCGGTTTTTAATACACAGATTACTCGCTGGTTTGTGTTAATTGATTTCTTTATTTACTTCAAAAATTTTGTTATTTTTTTAGTATCAAAAGTTTATTTCAAATTAGTAGTATTTATTGATAGATCAATTTCATAATATTCTAATGTAAAATAAAAAATTACTACTACTATTCCGTTTCCGTTCACCTGTCACACCCAATTTTTTCTAGACGGTAAAACATCACCCAGTATTTTAAGTTGTTATTAAAGATGAGCTGAATATTCGTTTTATGTTCGGTATTAAACATATACGTCAGCTTTACTAAATATTCGTATTCTGCCAAATATTCGGCCAAATCACCGAACGTTCGTTAAAGTGGTACTCAGTGTCCACTTTATTTAAATGTACGAATTGAGTAATGCCATGTCTTTCATAATTTTACTGTTGAAATGATATTTTATTTGTGGGTTAAATCTACTTGTATCGCGTTATGTTTTTGAGGCTTGATGAAATGTTTTTGGAGTAAAACAAAGAAACTTTTTCACTTTACTTTGGTCGTCAGTTTTTCTAAAATAAGTGCAAATAATAGATCTCCTCCTGTCACTCATTTTTAGCATATTATTATTAATTTTCGCAAATAAAACAACGAAATACTTTTTTCTTAACGCAAACTTATACATACATTATATCAAAACATAAGCATATTCCAGAAATTTGCTCAGTACTAGATGATTAGCGAGGGTTAGGGCCCGGCGGTAATCCCGCGCTCTTTACCGTCACAAGTTTCGACATAAATTGGTTAGGTACCGAGGTGATCCTGCCGAATAATGTTCGGCCGAATATTAGGTTCGGTAATAGATTTACGAATTTTCGGCCGAATATTCGCATTCGGTGAAATCCATATTCGGCCCATCTCTTGTTGTTATTAGGAAGCGATATGACTAACGGAAATTTAACCTTATTGGTATAATTTACTGTTCATTCCTTTTGAAGGCTCACCATAAAATGCATCTCGGACAACCATGCAAGAACATACCGGAGGAGAAGTTCCCCGGTGGGATCACTAATGGTGCTAAATGGTAAGTAAATTATCTTTATCTTCTTCATCTGTATAGGAATAGTTCTGGGTTCACTACTGGGCACAGGTCTGTGAAGGAAACTACGGGTCTGTGTCATGTCGCTTGATCTTTACTTGAGCTGCAATCAATGTGTAAGGCTTTTTTATAGAATGAGGGTGACAAACGAGCACACAGTCCACCTGATGGTAAGTGGATGCTGTGACCCATAGACATCTACATTTATCTAGATGCGTAAATGCGTTGCCGCCCCTGAGCATCTGCATTTTGATTTTTAATTGAGGATGAGGATTGAGGCGGATTACCATACGCAGTAACTAACGTCCTCACCCTTTGGACGATGGTGCCCGTCACAAGTTGAACAGGATGGATATCATCATCTATCGTATAGGGGAGTCCCCACATTTATCGACGCGGAATCGGCTTAAGCGGAGTGCATATCACCACCCAACTTGGCTTAACGCCGATCAGCTGTTGTGACGGCTATTCACAATGGATATATGAATGAATGGATCGGCAGTCGACTCCTTCGAAAGTTCGTTGCGACGACTGTTCACTTGCGTTCGGCAGATGGTACCTCCGACCTGCCGTCGCGATAGCTGTTCACATTCGTTCGGCAGTAGACTCATCGTTCATTATTCGACTGTTATCCAACGCCATTCGGTTGCCGTTGGGAATTTAATCACGTCGACGTGGGCGTTCGGCTACTTTCAGCGCCGTACGAATGCGATCAGCTAATCGGCAAACCGTTCATTTTGCTGTCGTCCGACGTCGCGTCGCTTCGACCATGCCAAGCTGATGAGAATGACATTAACAACACCCGTATTTTGTAGACATAAATGTTTTTTTGACCGTCTAAAGCCTATTCCGCGTCGATAAATGTGGGGACTCCTTAATGATGTTCTCCAGACCGAATTTGGGAGACGGCAGCCAATCCAAGTTTTTTTACTAGAAAGGAGGCATGCCATTTTAGTCCTCAATAGGGATAATGTATCTGCATTTTTATTTTAAATCGAGGAAAGATGTAGATGTCTATAGGCCACAGCATCCAGTTACCTTCAGGTCAGGTCAAAGCCTACAACTGAACATCTGCCTCCCCCATAGATTGCCTCAAAGCCTCGTATTTGCCAGAATTGTCACGCTTGGTACTAAATGTCGTAACATGACGAAAATACTACTACCTATCTCCTGTTTCTTTTCCCTCTTACGAGAGCCACGTGATTGTAAATTGGGATTCTCTAACGCCATCACTTATCAATCATCGCCTTACTTCGATCTAAAAAGTTAAAAGTTAAAGTTACAGCCTACATACGTCCCACGGCAGGGCACAAGCCGTCTTTTCAACCTATATATGTCCCACAGCTGGACACAGGCCTCCCCTAATTTCTGGAAGAGTTTTAGGACAAGGAAGAGTCCGTCGCGCTGCCCCAATGCATGTTGGCGAACTTTATATTATGTCTTCGAAATATTTTATTTTTTTATTTCTCAGACATACAGGTTTCCTCACGATGTTTTCCTTAATCGCCGAGCACGTAGTAAATCAGCTCTTATAATCGCAGTTAACAATTTCATTGGTGCCGGCGAGGATCGAACCCGGGTTGCTCGCGTACTGTGAAATTTACAGCGAGCGCTAACTATCTAAGCAACCACGGTTCCATCTAAAAATAAGTTGTATTTTTTTACTAAATGCTTACCATTTTTTCTAACCACGACTTTTCTGTTACCAGGGCGAGACCACATACAAAAGAGGTGAAATATTTTACAGATTTCATGGCGCGAAACTTATTTTGTTAGGAATATGAAAGCAATAATGTTTCTTTCTATAATGTTGGTCATATTTTTCATTAATTAGATCAGAATAAGTAAACCTAACTAGTATTCCTAAAAAAAGGGTTAAAATGTTCAAAAAATTACAGCAAATCACTGCGGCATTGTTGTATATATTTTCATAAAACTTCAGAAACCGTTTTTTTAAACCCAACAGCTCAATTTTATAATATTGTGTAAAAAAACTTCACTTTAGTCCTAACCAGCGACATGTGGTTAACGGAATATTATTAGGCCTCATTAGTGTATTTTTGCGGGACCAACGATAGATCTAGATAATAAAGTATCTCATCGTTAAGGTACGTCCTCGCCGGCGGCATGCAAGACTGGAACTACCTCCACACAAACGACATGGAGATCACTTTAGAGCTGGGCTGCTATAAGTTTCCACCGGCCGAGGATCTGCCGACCTACTGGGAGGATAATAAGGAAGCATTGTTGCAGTTCATAGAGCAGGTGTGAAGATTGTACTTAATATTTGATCACAATAACCCCTTCTCTATACCTTTCCTTCTCTCTGTCACTCCCTCCACCATGCATCTAGCTTTTTTGCACTTCTCTTCAGCGCATACTAGAGAGTATATATAACTATATGTATGTCGTGTGTATTTTCTAATAACTTGTGTGCACTTTTACCCTTTCTCACGGGTCATTTCATCTGCAAAGTGGTTACCCGGTAGAGGTCGCTGCTAAACGATAAGGCCATTAATTGTACCTTTAGATTATTTGTGGTTTTTTTGCTCTTATTTTGCGGTGTACAATAAAGTCTATTGCATTCATTCATTCATAAAAAATATTTTTATATACAAAATTAAAATGACAAAGGAACTTGGAGTCCTACCTGATGGTAAGGCTACTACTACTGCATCTCATGTACACTGTGATGCAATAGCTGATTATAGACTTAGAGCATAATAAATAGATTTGATAATGGAACGCTATGTGTCGGAGGGATTTAAAAATATTGTTGCGCGGCTAAGTTGACATCTGGCACTAGCGCCATCTAGTGTCGGGTAACAGAGCGAGGAGAGAGCTTTCCAGAAAATGACATCACTAATCTTTCAACCGACAGCGCCATCTGTTGTCGAAACGAAGAACTAAGCTTCTAGAAGCTGAGACTCGAATTTTCTGCGCTTGGTCGGTTGGCGCGCGTATTTACTTGAATATTCTGGATGTTTTCGTGGAAGAGCCCTATATAAAGGCGCTGCAATACGCGATCGGGGAAGTATTGAATTTGGCGAGACAAGCGAAGCTTCGGAGCGGAATAAAGTGAATCAGTGTGATTAATTATTGGTGTTTTAAGTTTTAATTTGTGTAAAGAAAATTAAAGTGTTAATTTAGTTAATTCTATCGGCAATTTTTATTGTCACGAACCTCAAGCTCGTAACAATATAAATTAGTTTTCTCATTCTAAATACCAGGGAATTGATGTGCATATTGAAGGTGAGAGTAGAATCAAGAATGGCTCCTAGGTATTTAATGTAGATAATGATAACTTTTAAAGTTGTTCAACTCTTAGAATGATGAGTGATAAATGAGTGGATTCAATTCTTACCAGCGTAAGTTGTGCAAGAGGTGTTTTTTAGAGAGCCGTAGCGAGCAAAGATAGAGCCAGAAGTAAGTAGATTCGACTTCTTTAAGGCAAAGGTCTTGTATTTTGTTTTTGTAACATTGGGAGTAAGTACATTATCAATCAACCATTTGTTAACAATGTTAAACCCTTTTTGCGCAAGTTCAAAGACTTCTTCCCATGAGTCTTCATTAAAAACGAGATCTGTATCATCAGCAAAGGTCCCTTCCTTCCCCATCCTATTTTGCCTCAAGGTAGCTCGCACAGGATTAATATAAATGAACTATAACTACAACTACACTTAACATCAGGTGAGCCACATGCTCGTTTGCCCCTTCTTCTATAAAAAAAATGAGAAACAGCGTTGGACCTAAAATGCTTTCCTGAGGCACACCATAAGCAACTGAAAGGTCATTACTGAGAAAATGAACAAGCTTGACTCTCTGATTACGGTTGGTAATATAACTCGCAAATATATTTAATGCTACTATACTAGCTATATTGTAGTGACAGCACAATTGGGTCGTTTAGACCGGGGAAAGACCCCACTCTTGCAGAATACCTGCTAAAATAGTGGTTCGTATGGTTAGTTTACAGAACCGGAGATCTATTTTACTGGTAACGAGGCATTCCATCTTAGTCCTCAGGAGTGATAAAGCATCTATATTTGATTCTTAATCGAGGATAGATATAGATGTTTATTGGCCACAGCATCCGCTTACCATCAAGTGGACTTCGTTACCATTTGTCACCCTTATGAAGAAAACTGAGGCGTGTAAAGCAGTCTAATACTCTATGATATCAATTGTTGATTGTTGTGAATTGATGTTGAAGGCATTGACAGTATCAATTGTTGATCACTGTCAATGCCTTTATCTTGTCGTCGTCGGTTCCTAAAATAAGGTCTAAGGATTCTTTTGTTGTTGTTAATCAAAAGCCATCCTTTTAACTTTTAAGTTATTGACCCCATCAAGCGGTCACAATATGAAAACTGGCGAAACTATTTCAGGTGCACAAAGGCGTGCACGGGTTCGTGCACAGCCACATCGGGCACGCGCTGGCCAACGCCACCGTGTCCGTGGGCGGTGTGCGCCACGCCGTGCGCACCGCACGCGACGGGGACTACTGGCGCCTGTTGCTGCCCGGGAAATACAACATCACCGCTGCCAAGGACGGGTAATCCGACACGCAATCAACTACACAATTTACACTGCAATATTTAACTAACTGCACAACTCTGTACACAGTTACAATATCCATATAGATATATAATCCTCCAGACCAGACCAGAATAGATTATACAATATATAATCCTCCAGACCGAGTTGTGGTCACTATAGCCAGTCTTAACGGAGACTACCCATCTGCGTATAACAGGATAATAGTGTCCGAGTGTATGCGTAAGCACAGGTGCATTCTCTATTCTCTCACTCTCATAGTTCGATAGGACGCTAATCTGACTCGATAGGAAAAATATTAGGCGCAATACCAACGACTTTACGTTCCTTCCGAAGCACGGAGGTGAAACACTGCTAACTTCCTCACTCCAGGATGCTACTGAGAATTTCTTGACAGAAAAACCTAATGACTAATTCTAACCCGGCTTTGAACCCAAAATCTCACTATCAGCAACCGTCTTTACAACCTCTAGACCATCGAATCGGTAAATTAACTGGTAAACCACACACTACGTTATTCACACCGCCCACAGTTCGACCGAGATGGTTTTACCATAACTCATACCATTTTCCGGCGCTTCCAGTAGTCACCTCTTACAATACCCTCAGTATGGAAGGTGAAATTATTTTTTTACGCCGCTTTCACACGGCAACAGTATACCATCGTAAAATGGTAGCATAACACTGCTGTGTTTCGGGTGTAGAAAACGGGAGATCCCTTTATATAGTAAGGCCTACAATGCCCACAGGTGAAAATCAAATCAAATCAAATAATTTATTAAACATCTGCATTTTTGATTATTAATGGGAAATGATATACGTGTCTATGAGCCAATTGATCCCCTTACAAACCTTTTTTTGGACAAAGAAGCGTGTCATGAATGTCAAAAAAAAGGGCGAGCGGCAGCCTCGTACATGTAGTAGATAGTGTGATGACCTGATAAGACATGCAAGAAATCAATGCATGCAAGTAGCTCAGGGTTGTGCTTTGTGGCATTCCTTGGGGAAGCCTATGTTCAGCAGTGGACTTGTGAAGGGCTGTTACAATGATGATAATTGTCATCCTTTTGCAAAAAACTACTGCATACAGTTACCAGTTGGTTGGGCATTTTTCTACCTAGAATCACAACTGGATAGGAAACTAGGAAGGGTGTACTTTATTAATGTTGTTTGATAGATGACGGGCAGCAATGACAAGCATACCATCAGGTATTGATGTTTTATCTCACGAAAGCGAGCTAGCTTTACTCTGCTGCTTAGCAAAGGACACATAAATAATAATTTTCTTACATAATTTTTTATGTTTACTTTTTTTCTGACGGTACCCGATATTAACTTTTGACTCCTGAGCTTACGCAAACTAAAACAGTATTTACACGCACTAAAACAATGTACATTTGCAACTAAACTACAAGTAGGGTTATCAGCTCCATTTCCTTGTTTTAGAGAATTTGATAAGATGAAATAAAGGACATAAGATGATGATATTGTATTTCAATAAAAACATGCTGTTATTGTATCAGTGGCAACATTTATTAATATAAAAATAATATTAATACGCAATGTAACGTGGTTTGTCTATCTAGCATCGCGCGTCACCTCAGTCACATTTTGTTACTATTTTGTTCTGAGCCAGCACATCATATATTATGGTGGTAGCTATAGGGAGCACTACGCTTGAAGTTGTTGAGGAATATGTTTACCTGGGACACATTCCAACTATTCGACCGAAAAGTCAATCAACTGATTTAACTCGGCTGCTCAGCGTTTGGAAGATTACGACACATCTCACATCTTTAGGTATAACTCAAAACTTCAAAATAAGATTGTACGAGTACAAACAGTGATTTTTAAATTCATAGACATCAACTAGTAGAGGGAATGTGGAAAACGCGTGATATTGCTTTATCCTTTATTAAAGATTTCATACTGTAGGACAAGATCAATTTTTGGGTTTGTCATTTTAAAATAAAGTACGTCTGGCAACCCTAACTACAAATAAGACCAATCCGCAAACTCTATGTTAGCAAAAATGTTTCAACACCCGTATTTATCTATTATTACTTATTTTATAGATATGAAAGTGTCACGGAAGAAGTAACCATACCGGCCAATGGCTCGGTGAGCGTCAACTTCACTCTTATGGTGGACGACCCGCAACATTGGTCTTCTGCCTACGACTTCCGGTAAGTCAACGCGAATTGCACTCTCGGACCAACGTTATAAGATTCACTTTGCTTTAACGTTCACTTCCAGGTTTATTTTTTGTTTTGTGGTATAAAATGCTATTTTATTGTATTGTATATTGTTTTTCAAATATTTATCTTATTAAAGTCCTTAACATTTTATATTTTATTGTCCTTACATTTTTAAGGATATAGTTCTGGTTATTTTAAAGGATAGAACCAAAAATATACAAAAGTATATCTGTGATTAACAAATTTTACTTTTTCGCATAATGAGCACGTTTTCTTTATAAAATCTGTTTTGTCATATTTTTTTATCACTATAAGTGACCAGATTTAACTTAAGAAGTTATCATTATCTATATTTATATTATTATTAATTATTAGTATTGGTTATATATTGTTTCTATTAAGTTTTCGGTAATTTCTTCTTAACATCACCTACAGTTAGAAGTGTTTTCACTAACAATAATTTAACTGCTTTTTTAATGCAAGGTGGCCTGTCTGTCTGTCACAAATTCCAAATTTCCGTCCATTGAAAATTTTAGTGATCTCAAAAAAAATATTACTTTCTTTTTTAATGATAAAATAAAGTATTTAAGAATATTTTGAAAATTGGGTTGTGAATATAATAGGACTTTTTTTAAGAAAGAATTTTATTTTAAATAATATTTTTAGATATATTATGAGAATAAACAGTAACTTTGTAAAGATTTTATACATTTTTTTTTAATTCATATAAATTGTGCTTAATAAAACTACTAAAGGGCAATATAGTTTTTCCATACCATAATTCGACCGTATTGTGTAGAAATGTTTCGACCCACAAAAACATAAAGTTGTTCGGATTTGAAAGTTAAATGTATTTTTCTTGTGACAGAAGCCCTATTATATCATGTTGTTTATATTATTTTAATGAAAACTTAATGTGGATTTTGAGATTATTTGTTGTTTTTCAGAAGTCGATTTATACTTGTTTATTTGCAAAAAAAAAAGAGCTTCTGGATCATTATTTTGTGTGTTGGCTCATTTCTGCATAACACTGTTCTCATTAATATAATTGTCTATCACAAAATATGTACTATCGAATGTAATCTATATAATTTACACTGTCCTATTTACTGTTTTATGCTTTATGCTTGTGTATAAATAAACTGCATGCATATTATATACGTGTGTTGTTATTATACTAACTGTCCGCTTGTACTTACGTCTTTGTACTTTTACAATCTGTCAAAATTCCACTGTTTACCGTAGCCCCCTCCCCCCCTCCCCCTCAGATTGACTCATAAGGTAAAATTTGACATTTGGCATTGTAATAAAGATATTAATAGTTACTTTGCAACCATCCGCTTAATTAAATAAAATGATGTGTCTTACCTAGTTTGAACAGCATCTCCCGCCCTCCCTCATTAACCACACTTAAGATCACTTAGCGGTCAGCCGCCGTAGAGTCCATCACCTGGAGATGCCTTGTGTAGAGGCGAAACACGTGTCGTATTATCCTCGATGGTGTGTTTTTCCTAGAATAGTGGTGTTGGAAGTAGTGGTGCTGGGATTGGTGGTGACGGGATTAGTGCATGCAATTGAGGGAGGGTAGGAGGTGCTGTTCAAACGAGGTAAGACACATCATTTAATTGAGCGGATGGTTGCAAAGTAACTATAGTCCGTTCGCGTTAAGAAAATAGTGAGTCATCAGTGCAACTACAGGGTAAAGGTGTATCACAGTGAAGTAAAAATGCTTTTTTTCCAAACATTTAATTAAGTTTAATGGAAACATTTTCTTAAAATTACTTAAATCACTAATCAGTATCGCTAGATTCTCCAGTTACATTAATTACGAAAGAATTTTGTGCATTATTTTATGAAGTGTGGTACGTTTGAAAACAGGAATATCTTCTTCAGCTTCGCAAAGTGTCATAATTTTGTCCCATGTCGGATAGTCGTTATTTAAATATATTGAGTGAATTTTTCTCCTTATTGCACATTTGTCTAGTTCATCTAATTTATCGACCTTCCATAGTCGAGCTCTTTTTTTCACGGGTGACTTAAATGTGTTAGTATCCTTTTGTTCTTTAATAATTTTATAAACAATATTTTCGGACACATCCACATGCACTTGCTGTTTTTATTACTATCCTCTCCACAGTCGCATTTAAATCACACAGTTTAAAGTACTTGTAAACATTGTAAATTACGCGTTTCTCTTCACTATGGATTATTGATCCACTTTTATTCTTTCGAATAGGTGAGGTATTCATTTTCAAAATTTAATGTTGAACGAGTAACACGCAAAATACACAACCGTTTTGTTCGAAGGCCTGACTTCAACTGGTCACTGTGAACTCGACTTTCTAATTTCTTACATTTTAATTGGCTGGGGGGCGTGGCCAGGCCGGCGGACAACGATGACTCACTATTTTCTTAACGCGAACGGACTATATTAATATCTTTATTATTAGGGATTTCCGCAAAGTAAGGCCTGATTCTATCAGTTATTTGGCATTGTTGCCATTATTGGGTTAACCCACCTGGAGTTAGTAAACAATTTTTATTTTTTTAGGTGTGGGAAGACACTGCTGTCAATCGGGTTTGTTTCCTTCTGTCGCTATTACGACAGCCATGGGACGATGGGGGCAGTGGATATTTTTACACCCCCATTATATGCCCTATACTAACTATCTGCTTGTATTGTACTAACGTCTTTGTACACACTGGTGTCCGACCGAAGGTCGATTCATGGCCCAAGCCGTAGCTCTAAAAACCTCAAGAAATTCAGACCTAAAAACCTGGATAAAATTAATAATTTATATGATTTTAAAACTTTTAATTTAAAAGTTTATATTGCCTGTGTAATATAAAAAAGTAATTTTAATCGTCTCTCGAAATTGACGTAGAGACGATAAAAATTTCGTCACCATGTCCATCGCGCTCGCGCTCGCTCGTAACAATTCGTTATTTTTCGGTGCTTGCTAGAAACCTTCGGCTTCGGCCAAAACTTCGACCAATTTTGTTGGACGCTAGCACAAACCCTAGGTTTTTTTATAAGATAAAGGTGACAAACGAGCACACAGTCCATCTGATGGTAAGTGGATGCTGTGGTCCATAGACATCTACATTTACCCCTGATTAAGAATCAAAATGCGGATGCGAAAAAAAAAACATTTCATATTCCTTTCGCGAAAACTCATCTCGGGAATCACGCTCCTATCGTGCGTATATGTGGAAAATATAACGAATTTTCTAAAACCATACCTGGCATTGACATATTGAACGACTCTTATATTGCATTCAAAATTAAACTTACAAATCATTTATCGTCGAGTTCCTGATATAAATTACATCTTCAATATAATATATTATATACCTTATACTTAAATTAAAAATATGCATACTCCTGAAGAGAGTATAATATCTACCATAAAGTAAAGTAAAAGTAAAGTTACAGCCTATATACGTCCCACTGCTGGGCACAGGCCTCCTCTCATTTCTGAGAGGGTATTACCCTCTCAGAAAATATCTACCATATTCCCTTTTAATAATTAAACCTGTTTTTTATCTTTAGATTTTTCTTATTTAAGTACATAATTTATTTGAATAGTTCTAATTTGCATTGTATTGATTGGATGATATTTGTACTCCAAATTAACCCAAAATTGCACGACTCAATCTGTGAATGTTATGTACACTTGTTATTGATATAAATATCAGAGTATATGTGTATTGTAGGTGTACTTGTTGAATAAAATAAAATAAAGTAAAAATAAAATATCGGAGTTCTCCCCTAGGGAATGCCACAAAACAAGGTTCCCAGCCATCCATCGATTTCTGTATATATTACCAGGTCGTCATACCATCTTTATGAGTCTGAAACAAAAATAAATTATTGGTGAGCACAGAGCGACTAATATTTCACATGTATACTCGTATTTCCCAGCGAATGCACTGTACTAGTCTGACTTGAATCTTGATTCCATAGAGGAATATTACCTGATATATTATCTTGATATAAATATCTTGGATTATATTGTGTTTAATTCACGTGTTAATTAGTTTCTGACGTTACGGGTGCTTTCGAGCACTCATGGTAACGGGGGATTAAAGTGACTGACGTCCCAATGTAAGTGTTAAACCGGAGTGCCTTCAGTTTTTTAGTTATTTTTTATGTTCCGATCTACGCAGAATAAACTTACTTGAAGTCTAGCAGTGGGGTCTGATCTGTTGGGTAAGTTTTTCAACGCGTTAAATTAATTTTGGGAAGATTATAGATTACGGCCCTCTCCATTACACAGATTTGATAGACCACAAATCCTCGCGAATGAACATCGATTCCTACCGAGGATAATACGTGAGGTTATTGAAATTTAAAAAAACTACCTAATTTCAATAGAGAAGGGCTGGGTACGACCTCCAGTTTGGGACCCTGTAATTAATAAACTTAAAACTAAACCCAAGCATACCACTTGCAGTATTATGCTTGGGTTAGCAGACTTTATGACACAGTAAATTCATTCTGCTTAAATCGGACCATAATTAATAATTAAAAAGCTTAAGATACTCTGGATTAACACTGACATCGGGACGTCAGTCGCCATAGTCCCCTGTGACCATGGGTGTTGGAAAGCACCCGAAACGTCGGGAATTACAAAACGAGTAAATTAAACGCGATAAAATCCGTAAAAGTAGTTTTAAACAATGTGTAGTGTTCGCGTAAATATAAGAAATCATTATGATATATTATCTAACTAGGTGGTAGGACTTTTTAGCTAGAAGTCCATCGGTGTAGATTTTGTTATAGAATAAGAGTAACATTCAAGCACGTAGTCTACCTGATTGTGGTAGTTGTGCTGGTAAAGTGGATACTATGGCCCTTAGCGTTGTCACCACTGAGGACTGATATGCCTTGTATCCAGTAAAAAGGTTCTCTACACTCTACTACTCTACTACATCCCCATAAAATTCCCATGCAGTCGCATGCGCCTGGCAAACCACGAGCGGTCGCATGCGACCGCACCCACCCACAGCCCTTAAAACCATTAAAACTTATAAATCTATACAAAATTCATCCATCATCCATTCCATTCGGAAGTTAGGGTCTACAAAATGGCCGTTTTGTAGGCGTCCACAGCTTCTTCAGGTGATGAAAATCTCTGTCCACGCAATTTATTCTTTATTTTAGGGAAAGTATAGAAATCATTAGGGCTTAGGTCGGGGCTGTACGGCGGATGATCTAATAATTCTATTTTTTCTTGTTCTAAAAACTCTTTTGTGTGAGAACTCGCATTGTCGTGATGGAGGATGATGCGGCGGTTGCAGTTCCCTTTACGGAATTCAGAAACGACCTGTGGCAAACAAATGCTGCATACCATTCTGCATTAACCGTTCTTTGTCCCTCAAGAGGAATAGTCGTAACATGGCCGGTTTTGGAGACAAACGTGGCCACCATTTTTTTTTGCAACGCTCCGTGAACAAACAATTTTTGTTGGCTTTAACTCATTTTCGAACACCCAAACTCGTGACTGGTTTTTTTTGTTTCGGGTTTTTACGCGTATATCCAGGATTCGTCACCTGATACGATGTTGTATACAGCATTTGAGGATCCTGCGTGGAATCTTTCGAGAGTTCTGACGCACCAAGTAACGCGAGCCGCTTTTTGGTCTTCACAGAGCGAATGCGGTATCCATCGGGAAAACAACTTTTTTACACCTAATTGTTCATGAAAGATTATTTGTATTTGACTCAATCCAATATCTAAAGTTGCCTGAATTTCGCGGTATGTCACATGTCGATCTTCCTCAATCAGCTTACGCACAGCAACAACGTTTTCTTGGGTGACTGCAGTTTTTGGACGACCTTGACGGGGATCATCACTGAGCTTGACACGTCCACGTTGAAATTCAGCAAACCAGCGATAAATTGTGGTTTTGGATGAGGCTTCATCACCAAATGCAGAAATCATCTGGTCAACACACTGTTTTTGTGTTAAACCACTTCGAAAGTCAATAAATCATCACTCTTGAATTTTCTCGAGTCAATTCCATTTTCTCAATGACTAAACAAGTTTGACAAAACCTTGTGACAAGACCGAGAATCTTTTTTTTAAATAAATAAATGGTATTCGATTTTTAGAACCAAGGAGTTTTCAATTAAAAAAGATTTTAATATGACAGGAACAGTGGAAATATTCCATTTCCGATACTTTTAGTGCAGTCTAGTATGGTTGTAGAGTGTAGGTAAGCCTCCTTGTGTGTAGAGTGATAGTGTGTGTATGTGTGTAGGAGGTGGAGTATAATATTTATCTAGGTACATTAAGTAATTGTTCGTTTTCGTCATAGTTCAGTTTATGAATATACTCAAATAGTTTCCTTTTGCAGTCTCTAATATTAAAGCTTCGTATGTCCTATGGGCCTATGTTCAGGACTAGACTTGTGAAGGGCTGTAATGATGATGAATGATATAAATATTACGTAATTGGTTCTCGAACACGACTCTAATTATTTTGAATTAAATCTTGTATTTAGATTATGTTTTACTTTCCAAGTTTATCTAGATTGGTATGAAACCAATCTTGAGAAAGTTTTTTCCAAGCAATGATCGGTCGCTTGGGTATTAAAAGTAATTCTTAAATTTCGTAAAGGAATCTTCATCTATGGCATATTGGCACTATAACTTTGCATATCTTTCTTTAAACATAAAATTGTTCTGTGCGTTTGTCACTAACTCCTAAACGTCATGACCGATTTTTAAGAAATTTTCGGTGGATTTCTGGATTGTTTAAATTCATTATTAGACCCAGTAGGTGGTGATTCTCAAATGCAGAAATTACCAATGCGTAGTTGGGGCGGGTTGTTTTTAGTTTAAATCTTTTTAAATTATTTAAAAAAATTAAGCCCTATTGTATATTAATTAAAAAAGATTTTCTTCTGTATCGTAGAGGGAGCTAACATAAATTGCACAAGCACCAATATCCGGACCTGGAGCAATTATTTCTAGGCCATATAATTACTTGTTCCGTACGGGATTCAAACCCGCGGACCTCGGCGCCGCAATTCAATGCTGAACCACTGAACCTCGGAGTCATCATAACATCATACAATCAATCAAGTTATGCTTGGCGGAGTCATGCTACGCTACAGCTATATTATAGTTGTAGCACGAATGAGTCGACTCCACTGGGGACGGACCACGTTCTCACAGAATACCAGCGTTAAATAGCAGCTTAGTGCTGCTGTGTTTCGTATGATGAGTGTACAGAACCTGAGACCCTTTTCACTGAAAACGAGGCATTCCATCTTAGTCCTGACGGGTGACAACCCATCGTGACGAAATTCCCGATACCATCCACACTATTTGGATGCTTGGCCGTCCACTAATATGCGGTTTACTAGGAATTTTCTTACTCGCAAGACTTCTTTGTGTAATTTTTAATAAACTTTTACCACCGGCGAATCGTTTTCCTTACCTATTCGATTAGAAGACCATCAAGAAACGAGCTTACTCCTTTAAAAGGCTGGCAACGCATCTGCAAATCCCTTGGTGTTGCAGTTGTTTTGGGCAGCGGTCGAAACTTACCATCAGGTGAGCTGCATGCTCGTTTGCTTGCATTTCTGTAAAAAAATCTGCATTTTGATTTTTTATTGATGATAGACGTAGTTGTCTATGGGCCACAGCATCTTACCATCAGGTGGACTGGTTTTTAATATACGACTATTATTCTATAAAAATAAATCTTTTGCAGCGTCCTAGAGAACATAGTGAACACTCGGTACCACAGCCCGGTGGAGATGTACGCCGAGCTCTCGGAACTAGAGAACCGGTATCCCGACGTCGCGGAGTTCAGATCTGGAGACGCCCTGAAAACCGCCACTATACATCAGCTGAAACTAACCGACCAGGCATATTTATGCATTTTGTATTATGGGTTACGTGACATGTTGCGTTGTATAATAATATGTGTTACGATCTTGGTTTTTTTTTTAAGGGAACTCAGTATACAATATCACAACCTGACGGTAAAAACTACAATGTCGTAATAGTTAAGTATTAAAAAAAGTAAGTATTAAAAATTAGAGCATCTATTATTTTCACCCTTATGGGAGAATTATTTCCTTTAAATTTAAGTGGGATCAGGACCTATTTAATAAAAAAATAATCATTAGAATTGGTTTAACACATAACAAAACACGGGTCAAATTGAGATTCTTCGCCTTTTTAGAAGTCATTTAAAGTTACAGCCTATATACATCCCACTGCTGGGCACAGGCATTCTCTCATTTCTGAGAGAGTTTTAGGGCAAGGATGTGTCCGCCGTGCTGCCCCAATGCGTGTTGGCGATCTTCACATGTCTTCGAAGTATTGTTTTTCTTTTATATATTTTTTGAACATTTGTGTAAATTTTTATATCTTCTCTTTTTTGTTAACTAATATCGCATTAAACCTTATTGGTAGAATGTTAAATCAAATGCGGGTGATCATAAGTAAATGTTATTGCGTTTTGTGTTCAACAATAGGAAATAAATTTTTTGCACATCACACAAAAATTACTTATTATTAACTAAGTTACTGACGAACAATGGTCATTGTAAAGTAGTAAAATTAAAGTTACAGCCTATGTACGTCCCACTGCTGGGCACGGGCTTTCATTTCTGAGAGGGTTTTAGGGAAGGCGCTGCCCTAATGCGTGTTGGCGAACTTCAAGTCTTCGAAATATTTTTTTATTTTTCAGACATGCAGGTTTTCTCGCGATAGCTCAGCACTTAAAATTGCAATTAACAATATTATTGGTGTCGGCGGGGATCGAATCGGGAAATTCAGTTAAAAACTCGAAATGCAATCCACATAACATAACCAGATTCGTTGTTGCTATTACAGATTGGTTCACCGGAGGAAACGAAATTCCACGTTGCGATCATAAGTAACCTCTACAGCTCGCAAGCCTTGGGTCAAGAGATGCTTCTGAACTTCGCGCGCCACCTCGCCACAGCATACACCATCGGAGAACCCATCCATCAGAAATTACTCAAAAACGCCGTCTTGCATTTCATACCCAACATTGACCCGCTCTACAAAAAAATCCTTAAGGTATACGACAACACTGACAAGTGCGACCTTCAACCTCTGGAAGAGGAATTCGGCGACAGCGTGTACGGCTACCTCACTAAAAAGAATCTGAACCCGTTGTCGAATTACACGCGAGAGAAGGCGTTCATAAATCTTTTAGAAGAGGAGAAGTACGATCTGATACTCGAACTGGCGTCCGGTACAGAAGACGTTGCGTATCCGGAATTGTCGAGAGACATCTACGAGCAGTTTGCTAGAAAATTCCAAGACAACAGAACGCCTAGTAATCGATACCAATGCGCCGAGCAGAACATCGATGCGAATCACGGGAATCTAATCGATTTGATCTCCGAGAGATATAACACACCGATTATCGCTGTCGGATTGAGTTGCTGTAAAATGCCGGCACCGGACCTCATCGGCTGGGTGTGGAGAGACAGCTTACGTGGGATCATGAAATTTGTAGAGGTTGCCAACACTGGTAAGTTTTGTGTAGCAATAATAAAGATTTACGTGTAGAAGTTTCAAACTTTGCCATTGTGGCTTTAAATAAAGTTTCACCCCCACTCTCTTACACCAAAAATTAATAAAATTGTAAGTTTGAGTCCGAATTTATATTAATAAAAGTAGTAATAAAAGAAACTTAAAACCTCAAGAAAGTTAGTTTCACCGCCAAGTTAATTTGCTGCAATACTTGTTTTTTTTTTCTCCTGACAGTCCGCCTGATAGTTAATGGATATAAACCAACGTTTTGACGGTAACCAATCTTAGGTCAACTACATAATACTTAAAATAATTTTATTTTAGCGTACTTATCAGCTGGCAATACGGAAATTAGACCGCATATATTACGGCATTTAGAGCGGTCTGGGCGCGATCTAGGCACGATTAGGTATCGCATTTAATTATAATTCCCTAATCCCATGCTGCAATTATATTAGTAGTATAGTTGTAGCAAGAATGGGAAGGACTACGCTCTCACAGATTACCAGCGTCAAATAGTAACTTAATGCTGCTGTGTTTCGTATGGTGAGTGTAGAGAACCGGAAACCCTTTTTACTGGAAACGAGGCATTCCACCTTAACTCTCACGGATGACAACGCATCTGCATTTTAAAAGAGGATAGATGTAAAGGGGAACACCCTTCAGGTGGACTGTGTGCTCGTTTGTCTCTATATTCCATATAAAAAGATAGAGTACTTAGCTGAAAGTAATCATCTGCTGTACCAGAAGTCGTGCGCTTGTGACGCAGTTAGGAGTCATTGGTCTAGAGGTTTTATCTGGTATGAGCTGTTTATATGGACAAACATCGGAAGTCGTGGGATATTTCTGTCGGTTCTTACGACACCCACGGATGGTTAGGGTTTTATTTGCGGCAGAGCCACGCTGCTGCCAGCTATATTATAGTTGTAGCACGACTGGATCGGCTCGACCGGGGTAGGATCACGCTCTGACAGAATACCAAAATACCTTTGACATATTGTCGGCTGTAATGACTAGTTAAAAAAGCATAGTATATGTAAAATTTACAGACGATCTCCTTTTTTTATTTTGTATTATTGTTTTTGTTTTTTTTTTTTCATTAATGTTGTGCATGGATGCATGGACTTTTTAATAAATTAAGAGCTAGCAGCACAAGTATGGTCGGTAAGGTCGGTAAGTCGGTTGCACAATTAAAAATTTTGTGCAACCGACTTCAATATAAAAAAATATTGTTTATTTTTTTTAAACCGCTCGACCGGTTTCCATAAAAATCCCATCTGGGAAGTATACCATAATCATAATCATTTGAAACAAAAAAATAATTTTGCAAATCAGTTCAGTCGTCTTCGTGTAATCAGTGGACATACATTAAAAAAAAGGATTTCGACGAATAGAGAACCTCCTCCTTTTTTGGAGTCGGTTGAGAGACTTGAAGTTGTATAAAATAAGAAAATAATGTGAAAATCAAATATAGATGAACATATTATTAAGATTGTGTATTAGCTATAACCATAGGACAAAGTGGCGTAATTACTTTCAACGCCTCATTTCCTTCCGTTGGTGTGGAGAGGCGTCTATAAGAAAGAATACCAAGAAATATTACTGTAAAAACGTTTTATTACTTGCAATGAATTATAAAAATTAATGTTGAATAAAAAAACTGAATATTTTATATTAAAAAAATTTGAATATTTTATTATTTAAACTATATAGTTTAAACAATAAAATATACTGTGTGATTATATCATTTTTAAAGTTATCTTTGTGTAGCTTGTACATTCATAGGGTCATTCAGTGTAAAAGTTTTCAGTAATATTGTCTCCTCATGTTGTCGCAATACTTATGGTCACTTACAGGTGGTGTAGACGGTATGTTTTGACTGCTTCGTTGATCTAGTGGCCGTAACTGCGATTGACGACCGAGAGATTCCGGGTCCTAATCCCGGGTTTCGTTAAAAAATCAGTTATTTAATTTTTCTATTGAGCTATTCTCAGTTACTACTGAGAATGTCTACTGCTCGGCGTCAGAAAATTTGCCATGTCTTATCCCCGTATTTCGGAAGGCACGTAAAGACGTTGGTCCTGTGGCTGATCTCTTTGTGGTCGTGTCGGATAATCGTTCTATCAAACTATGAGAGTGAGGGGATAGAGAGTGCACCTGTGCTTGCGCATACACCCGGGCACTGTCATCTTTTTCTGCGCAGATGGCTGGCTTCAGTTGGGACTGGTCGCTGTAACCGAAGTTCGGTTTAGAAAAAGAAAGGAAGAAACAGTTATTTAACGAACACATAACATTAAGGAACAGAAGTTCGTAGTATACGAGTAAATTATGAATTGGTAATAATACTCTGTGCGATATCAAACCAAATCCCGCTCCAGCAATAATCTGTGGGGAAACACAGGACTGTTTTTGTTTGGACCTTAGTTGACTCGCGAACAACAAATAACCACTTAAAATAATTAAAAAATATTATTATTAGATTAGACTCCGAAACTCATTGTTATACGTCTAAGTTGTATGATTAAAGTATATGAGTAAAGCGGACATTATTATTTATAGTGCCACTTGTTAGTGTGTGCAAAATAAAAAACATGTTTGCGTGTGCCCTTGCAGGCGTGAAGGGTTACATAAAGAACGAGGACGGTGTACCGCTGCGGGAGGCGACGCTGGCGGTGCCGGGCTCGTCGCGCCAGTACCGCGTGTCGCGGAACCGCGCGCACTTCCGCGCGCTGCTGCCGCCCGGGGACGTGCGCCTGCTGGTGCGCGCCCGGGGTTACCACGACCAGGTAATGTTGCCAGCTTACTGGACTTTCCACTAAAACTGGTGATTCCGGCCCTCCTTTTACTGAAACCTCCTTTTATTGCAATCTGATTTACTACGTGCTCGGCGGTGAAGGAAAACTGCGTGTGTTTAATGCTGCGGCTACACTAACGAGGAACGTCAATACCCGTAAACGCAACAATTATTGCCTTAAATTTAACGCGATAAAATGAGTGGCTACACTTGAACGATCAACGTCGTTTCCCGTTGAACGGCATTAAATTTTTTTTTTTTAATTTATTTTCTTCCAATTATACAATAAACGTTTTTAACATTTTTATCTGCCAAACTGCATTACAGTTTGTCGGCAGTAGTTCTCGTCTTACATGCTTATGTTTATACATATAATCTGAAGTATAATTTCTTATACATATACTAATATCTCCCAAAATCTATTTTATTATTTTATCTATACATATTTAGTACAAAGTTTGTTATGAGGTCCACATCAGCCAAATATCAAAATTGGTTCATTATTTTTTTTTATATACATACTGTATATACACATACAGTTTATACAGTTTTTTTTTTAACCGTTGAACAGCGTTAAATTTGCAAAATTGAACTGAACTGTGTTAAATGTTTCAACCGGAGAAGGACCACGCTCTTTACAGAATACCAGCGTAAAATAGTAGCTTAATGCTGTCGTGTTTCATATGGTGAGTCTAGAGAACCGGAGACCCTTTTTACTGGAAACGAGACATTCCATCCTAGTCCTCACGGGTGACAACGCATCTGCATTTTGATTGGTAATCGAGGATAGATGTAGATGTCAGTGGGCTACAGCATCCACATACCATCAGGTGGACTGTGTGCTTGTTTGTCACCCTATCCTTTAAAATAAAAAAATAAACAAAGAAAAGAAGAATACAAAGAAAAAGAAAATGTTGGATGCTCCAAATGCACAGGAAACGTACACTGTAAATCTATTTATGTTTTATTTTGTTTTCCCGCACCCAAATTGCACTAGAAAGACGTCCAATGATTTAAGCTAAATAATAAGACAAACGAAAATATATTTTAATGAAATAATAACTAATAAGCCAATCATAAATACTGGTCAAGTGCGAATTAGATACACGTACTCAGGGTTTTGTACCATTGTACACTATGAATTTTGACCTGCAAAAATTGTTTTTTTTTCTCCTGCTTATTTTTCTTAGTTTCATACCGTAAATTAAAGTACTTTTGAAGTTTTTTTTTTTAATTCAATCTCGAAAAGCTTTTTCATTACTCCACTCCATCGCAGCCATACGTGCAACCCCGTGGCACTCACCATGCACAATGAGACAAACGTAGTGTGGCCGCTTCAACGCGATAATTCGCGCATTAATCCTTTGATGTACCGCCACTCGAGTAACTCTCAAACTCGAGTTATCGGCAAACAGGAAACGGCATTGTTAATGCCGTTGTCAAATTATCGCGTTTATTCGTGGCCACAACTACATTCAACGTCCATCAACGCGATAATTAACGACATTTCTCCCTAGTGTGGCCGGGCCATAATAAATAAGAAAAAATATTTCGAAGAAATGTAAAGTTGAACAACACGCAATGAGGCAGCGCGGCAGACACTTCCTTTTCCTAAAACTCTCTCAGAAATAAGAGACCTGTGCGCAGCTGTGGGACCTATATAGGTTATAACTTTATACTGGAAACACACACTCACACGCACACGCACACACACACACACACACACACACACACACACACACACACACACACACACACACACACACACACACACACACACACACACGCACACGCACACACACACACACACACACACACACACTATAACCGCCTCGTTGGTCTAGCGGTTGTAGTAGTGCGACTGAGGTCCTGGGTTCGAATCCCGGGTCGGGCAAAAAAATCAATTATTGAGGTTTTCTGCCAAGAAGTTCTCAGTAGCTGCCCGGAGTCAGAAAGTTGGCGGTGTCTCACCCCCTTGCCTCGGAAAGCACGTAAAGCCGGTGGTCCTGCACATGAATTCTCTCCAGTAGTGTCGGTTTACCGTTCCATCGGATTATGAGAGTGAAGGAATAGAGAGTGCACCTGTGCTTGCGCATACACTTGGGCACATGTGGAAAATCCTGTCCTGTGCCAATGGCTAGCCTCCGCTGAGTCAGGCCGCCGTGGCCGAAATTCGGTCTTGAGGACATTATTAATAAGTTTTAACACATTACCTCTGATTCCATATTTTTCCAGTTAGTTAGTTAAGCGGCAAGATATATTAATCAACGTAATCAAACGGTTGTTGGTGTACGATTATACATACCATACATACCGGTGATCACTTTTTCCATAAACCCATACATTTTCTAAAACCATATTGTTCGTTTGCTAAGATGTTATTGATTTCCAAATAAGAATATAAGTTGTTATATATTGCTTTTTCTATTATTTTGGAGAATATTGGAAGCAACACTGATTTTATTGTTTTTATGCCAAACACTAAAATAAAATAATACTATGAGCTGTTACAATATGAGTATTATAAATTTGATCGTCTCTAATTAAAAATCCTGGATTATTTAATTCAGTACGAATTAATAACTTAAAGAAATTTGTAATATTCCTATCGATAAACAATATTAATCTACTCACCATATATATAGACACCTATAATAGACCGGACTCGTCTCCCCCGAATCTGTCTGGGACTTCGTTACGGAAACTACCCCAAATTCCAACACTGAATTCTCTCTACTAATCGTCAGTAGCAAAGATTTTAAATTTTAATTCGAGATGCATCGATATGCCTTTTTGCCGATACGATACCGATACCAATACTCTTATTAAATGTTAGTAGTTATAAAAAATAATAATTAAGGTTAATAATGTTAGTAATTAAAATTAACATTAATAAATTTTTCTTTATCGAACTAAGTATTCCCAAATTTGGTGGAAGAAAACGTTTTCGCAACTCTCTCAGATGCGACAGATCTCATTTGGAAACTAGTGTACTTCTGCGCCATTTTTTCTCAAGTTTAGGTATATATAATAAGCTAGAAAACAAACGAATCTGCCTCTCTCGATATATTAGGAGACCTTGAATTTGAAAAGTTTCGTTGTATCGGCAAACACAAACTATCGTCGATATATCGATCTCGGTATCGGATGCATCCCTAATTTTCATCGCCATGCTGAAATTTGATGGCCTATCAAATTTTGTTATATCAACCATGGGGTCGGGATTATCTTAGTTTTTTTAAGAGAAACCTAACATTACGTGACGTAGTCTAAAACGGGTATTCAGAGACAATTTAAAACTCGTGTTCAAACTCTTCACAATGTCAAAATTTGTGGATCACAGTATGAACTAGTCTTAAATTTATATATTGTGAAGTTTTAGTCTAAATCTGATAGACTAATGCCTAAATACTCAAACGCTGCTCAATTTTAAGATGCCGTTAAGTCTCGTGCTCACTTTAAGTGACATCCCCCCATTCTTGTACATAAGCTGGAAAGAGTTGGTATCAGGGGTGTTCCACTAAAATTACTCGCGGACTACCTTGCAAACAGGAGGCAGAAAGTAAAACTAGAAAATTATACTAGTGATTGCACTAATGTGTCGTTTGGTGTCCCGCAAGGAAGTGTTCTTGGCCCCACGTTATTCTTAATTTATCTGAATGATTTATGTAACATGACCCTTGAAAATGCCAAAATATTCTCTTATGCGGATGACACTACAGTTGTTTTCACCGGAGGATCCTGGGACATTGCTAAAAATAATGCAGAAAAAGGTCTTGAGCAAATAGGTAAATGGCTGCAATTTAATCTGCTTACGCTCAATACGGCCAAAAGTTGCTATATATGCTTTAGCATTTATAACAACACTCAGCCAGAACTTGATTTTGCGGTGAGAGTACATCACTGCCTGAGTGTATCACAACATATAGACAGAACTGCCATTGCCCCACTATACAAAAGGTAACCGAAGCTAAATATTTGGGAGTGTGGCTGGATCAAAGACTCTCTTGGTATCGTCAACTTGAACATGTCACTCAGAGAATAAGGAATCTCACATGGATTTTTAAGACATTGAGACATGTGGTACCTAAGACAGATTTAGAAACGGGGACTGGGGACAAGTGTCTTCTAAGAGAAATATACATATCCTTAGTACAGTCTGTTCTTGCTTACTGTTTGCCTGTATGGGGAGGTGCAGCCAAAACGCGCTTTCTTGAGGCGGAACGTGCACAACGTGGTTTGATAAAGGTTATGTATTTTAAAAAACAAATTTTTTCAACCGATAAACTTTATGAAACTACCCGAATTCTTTCAATTAGAAAGCTTTACATTATACAGACAATTCTGAGTAAACACAAAACCCTGAAATTTGATGCCGTTAATGCTGTAAGTAGAAGGCATAAGCTGGAAACCCTCAAATGCAATTCTGTTTTTGCTTCAAGACTATACAAGGCTCGTTCGTCCTACCTCTACAAAATGATTAATAAAAGCTTAAAGTTATATACTAAAACATATCGCGACTGTAAAAGGTGCTTACAGTTATGCTTGGAGGATAAAACCTATGATGATCTAGAGGCATTATTAGTTAAAATTAAATAGTAACGAAAACACATCACACACACACATACATGCACGCACGCACGCACACACACACACACACACACACACACACACACACACACACACACACACACACACACACACACAAATGCACGCAAAAATGCACACTTTTTTAAAAAAGTAAAAAAAGGAAATTTAACCTATTAGCTGTAAATAGTCACTTTTAAAGTTAGTTATATATTCGAACTATACTAGTATAATTATTCTCATTGTTATCGTTTAAACGTGCTACTTCAAAAATCATGTAAATCCAAAAATTTTATTTTTATCTTGTACATTCTTCTAAAAACGACATAAATTAATGGAAGAGCGTTGCTCCCTGATACAGGCTTATTAGCTTAAAAGGGCGCTACGGTCACTAATATAATATAA